GGCACTTTTATCTCAGTATATCTAGCGTTTTGGTAGTCACAATTACCGCTTTTATTTCTCTGAAGGTGTTCCCAATCGCTACACCTAAAATGAAGGCGGCTTTTATCGGTCTTATTCTTCTGATACCTTGTTTTGAGTCTCTGGAGTCTAAAGAGGCTCTTTCTTTCACCTACCATCGCTACCCGCAACTGCGGCAAGCACTCGTTGGCGTCTGGCTACAGTGCCCCCAGATCACTCGGCTCTATAGCATTGGCAAGAGCTCCCAAGGCAGACAGCTGCTAGTCATCGAAATCAGCGACCGGCCCGGAGTACACGAACCAGGTAAGAAAACATCTATGAATAATTAAGATAACGGAAAATGTTTTAATTTTGAATGCTGCTTGAGCAAAGGTAAAGTAAGTTTCGAATATTTCGGCATTTCCCAAATTGACTGTTGTTAAGCGAGTTTAACTTTGCGGAAGGTTAAGTATGCATCAGTTATTACTGTAATGTCCGTGACATTTTGTATTAAATCAGTATTACACTACGTTGTATTTCTACTTTGCAGATTCACAAAAACCTTTTACCTACTCGTTAGACATATTTGTATTATTGTCGTATAATTTTAGCTGGAGCTTTATTCAAGGCGACTCACATTCAAACATTCACTGAACTGGAAAAGTTAATACTATATATCTAAACACATAAGAAAAAACAATTAAGCAAACGCTTGACATTTAATTTGCTTCGCCTAATCCCTAAGGTGCTCACCTATTTAGGTGTACAATTTCATGCAGCATCTCCCTTTTTCAATTACAGTAAATTCGTAGCAGTTAGAATTTGTACAGTTTATCACTAAATGTAAACGTTAAACAACGTTTTGGTTACAGACTTGGGCAACATTTTGTCATCCTTTAAATAAGAAAACATGACCTCTGTATTTTGGAACCACATATTTTTTTAAGATGCACACGTAACAAATAAAACACACTTAAGTAAAAGACTAATTTGAAATTCTTGGGTTCAAAAACGACCACAGTAATAAAATGATTTTCTCAGCGACATCAAGTATATTTATTGATCCGTCCTTCAAGTTTTACGACATTGGAAAGTACATAAGAGTCGAACACGGCTAAAACGCAAACCTATCCTGGAAGAATGGGAAATAAGAATCTAGGCCTATGATCTATGAAGTAGTAAATGTAGCAGAACACAATAAAAGTTTATGTCCATTTTCTGCTAGACACGCAATTTGAGCAGAAAAAATGTTGTCAGTTTTCCAGTTCATTACCAAGCCCTAACTAAATATTCATGTTGTATCAAGCAGTCCATCACCAAACTGCTGAAAAACGAGAATACAACTGCTAGCGAGGAGCATTTTGATATCCTTTCTCGTTCTCTTATGTTGGCTGAGACGGCACAAGTCTGCCTCCAACCTTAACAGCCATGAGCAGCTTTTTTAACAACATTTGCAGAAATGTTCTAAATGATAACGTGACACTATACTGACAGGCTTTCAGAAGTGCCCTCAGTACCGTTTTACTGTAAACATTCAGAAAGAGATGCAATTCTATCCCTCCTGGTGAAAAAGACAGAGGAATGACTATGTTAATAATGCACTATGAATCCTTTTAATTGCACCCTCATATACAAAAAAGTTCCAGTAAAGGACACCAAAAATGTAATCTAAAATGATATTTTCTGGCAACTAATAACAGTAATATGCTGTGGTTTAAATATTTATATTTGTCTTTTGCATAACTGCTAAAATATATTGGGGTTTGACTACACTGAAACATAACATTGTCAAATTTTGTACACTCCCTTTTCATCAGTATCCCACAGATTTAATGGCGGAGGATTAGCTGCATATTTTCGCTTTCCTGAGTTTTATCTTTTCAATTTGCAGTTGGAGTTTCTCATTCTCTAGGATGAGCTTTTCTTTCTGAAGCGCCAACACTTCCTTGTGCAGTTCCAGTGTAGCCTTCTGCATCTGAGAGTTCCCATCTTGTGAGAAGTCAAAAAGGGCAGCACCTGCAAGACAAAATGGCAAAAGCACATTTGTAAATGTCAGTGTGGTAGTCATCAGCACAGACTAATCACTGAGTAAACAGGACAGGCACCTTGTTGATTGTCCTTTCGGGAGGGAAGAGGTAAAACGGTTTTCGTTTGGTCTGGAAAAACTAGAAAGGAATGGAGAATTAAAAAGCTTTTACACACTTCAATAACAAGCAAAGCAATAAGATGTAGAAAATGAGGGATGCAGAAATTATTCTCATCCCTCATTTTCTAAATGGCAAAAGTCTGTAGTAGCACTTGACTGTCTCCTCTTTCAGTAGCTGAAATCTCATTGAACTGTACCAACGTAACAATATTAGTCATGCACTGTATACGTTTATTGGCTCTTGAAAGCATCTGACTCAACTGTGTGGAGCAATTAAATGCCATTTGCTCCAAAGGTTTTTTCAAAATGTTGAATGAGGAATTAAAACTGGGCAAAACTGATGAGAGTTTCAATTTCACTGATGCACAATACAAACCTTAAGTTTTCATATAGATTAAGCTCTCAGGCCACTGCACCCAAAATGTTACTTTAATTATTTAGAACGCTAGCTCCTTCATCTGAGGTGATTTACATTCAAGAAAATGTACATGTCTTCCAGAGTTCTAAAACATATGCTAACAATGCTAAAAATAGTTTTACTGTTTTTAATTATACAAATTAGCCATCTGAATCTAAAGTGAAATCAATGTTGCTTTAATAAAGAAATATAAAAATTAACAAACCCAGCATTTTGTATATAAGATGCTAAGAAATATCACTTTGTATGAAATAATTAAAGATTTCCGGCATTGGGATAGTTTATTGAAGCTCCCAAAAGCCCAAACAGAACCTGCACTCTTGATAAAATGTCATACTGAGCATCAAAAGAATCTTAGCACTCTATTAATGCATGTCAGAAGAAAATTAACTCCTACAGCATCTGGAAATTCATTACATGTTTTGGGATAATTTTGATGAATTGACCATTCATAACTAAATGTGATACAAGATGGATTCTGAATGTTGCACAGGCACTAAATTACCTTACTGGTGAGAGACAGGGCATGGTAATGTGACCTGCTGAATGTGATGCCTGGTGTAGATCAATAAAGAAGAATGCCCAATATGCTTATTAAGAGAACTTTGTGTCATTGATGTGTTAGTAGATGAACTACGACCACACACCTTTGCTTGCTACAGTATCTGTGCCGCATAAATATCATATCAGTATCTCCAACAAGTAAAGGTGTAAGTAAGTACAAGTAAAGGTAGAAGGGAAATCTGGTTTTGGGTGCAATTCAACAGTCAAAAACAGGTTAGACTAAATTCCTGGTTCACTGAAATTGTATGTGTCTAAAACTGCTGCATGCCTCTCTTTGGGAATAATGGCAGTTAATATAAAATATAATACAGTATTGTGTACTGGTAAATACAACAAATAAAAACAGTTTATTTGAAAATGATCCCCCTTTTCCTGGTTTGTCTCTTTGAGATCACAGAACAGATGGCATGTTTAGGTCAGTGTTCTAAAGCCACTGTTAGGGAAGAGCTATGAGCAAAAGTAAATTTCCATAAATTAAACAGTGTGAAGTGAATCCAATATAAAAATAAACCACACTAGGGGGAATCATATAATTAATTATGTGTCAGGAAGAAACTAGTTTGTATAATAATGAGCAGTGACTAACATCTAAATGCCTTTTTGGCTCAGCAGAAACATACAGTAACATCTAATTCAGCCCAACTGAAATTATTCTCTAATTGATAAAATTATCCAAAACAGAGCTTAAATTCCTTTATTTATTTAGAAACCAAGAGATTTTGAACTACTGGCTTGTAAAGGCAGAAACATTTATACCTTTTACTGCACCTAAAATATGCATACAATTTGATCCATAAAAATAATATAATTGAAAGATTCTAAACAAGCACAATAAATACTTAATATTAATTGTGCAGCTGTACACAATCTACCTGTTGCTTTTTTCAGAATATAATTACCCCTTGAAGAACTGTATGGACCTAAGTCTTCTCCCATCAGCTGCTGCTGTGGAAAGTCCATGGGAAATTTCTGAAAAAAACCAAACAGGTTGCTGAATATGGAAAACGGCAACTAAATGGTACGGAATATGAAGATCCTTCACCCGTTTCAGTTACCAAAGGAATTGGATTAAAAAAACATATGAATCACTCGCAATCCTACAGCACGTCTATTCCTGTAGTTGACTGTGAAGTCCTGCACGTGTATGAAACAGCCAGCAAAAGGAATGCAAGTTGGCTTTCTTCAATTCATAGTTTGCCCATTTCTTTCTCTGAAGGCTTAAATTACTGTAGAGAATGTGGTGAGGAACCTTGGATAATACTGAATCATGAACGAATAAGTAGACATACAAAAGCAATTAGAAGCATTGAATTGAAGTATTCAATGCTGAGAACTGTGCCATGTATTTTAATTAAAAGGACTATAATTGTTCATATGCTTTTCTGCCATTTTCAAGAACACTTTACATATGGGCTACAGGAATTAAATGGTCCTTTCTGTCACACAGCCACTCATGACATTCACAACACATTTCGAATGATCCGCAAGGAATTACTGGCAAGTGAAAACTGAATTTAGTCACATGCTTTTCTTTATGGGTAGCTCTTTTCAAGTATCTAGGCCTGTTAAGTATTATAAGGCAGAGCAGTTTTACCCAAAGTCAGTGATAGAAGAAATCATTTCTAAGCATCAGAAACAAGTTAGCAAGATCTCTAAACGTTTTGCAGACTTACAGTTAAGGTTCTTTTTTGTTTCTCTGGCAAAGAATTGGCCACAGAGGACAGGGTCTTTGACAAGTCGGCAGATGAACTTCAGACTGGAACACGGATCTTCTTTCATGGTCTTCAACACCAGCCATTCCTCCCACCCCTGCTAGACAGTCTGTGATTTATATTCCTTTCACCGTTTTAGCACCAAGAGAGAGGTAGTCTTCATCCAGAAGGTATTCATAGTATCAGCCATAAGTCTTGCTTCAAAATAGTCGACGACCAAAATCAATATCTTTCTGGCTCAAAAAAGACCCATCTGGAGCAGTTTGGTTCTTCTTTACAATAATTCAGTAAGACTCTAGAAGTACATCTGCACGACTCTATTGTAGGCCATATTCCAGATAATTCCCCCCACCCATGACTACTTTGCCAATAACGTAATTAGTCTAATCCATTTTATGCTCTGAACAGAAAGTAAATATTGTGGGTACATGGTTATAAGTGGCTTGGACAACCGTTCGTTATAATATGGCAGAATACATACAGAACAAGATTGTGTTTTAAAAAGATTTCATGCTAAAAGTTACAGTTACACAAGATATTACCTTATTGTTTTGCCCATACCATACCAACACATACAACACATAATACAGTCACAGAAATGGCATTTTCTTAAACCAAATGATAAACACTACGTTATAATCTTTGCAAAATAAAAAAGTTGAGTTTCGGTGCAGTCCTGAGCATGGGGTAGATTATATTGATAATGAAAATGTGCATAATAGTGGTGGATAACTGGATGTAAGTTACATCTAATGTTGCAGATAAGCAAAATGCCAACCAACTGTAATTCATTTACTATGGAGTGGGCATTTCGCTTGCTGTGGACATTAAATAACAAGAAATGTAAAGGCTAAATTTTGTCATGATTGCATTGATGAAACCTACACCCTGGAAATTCATTTATCAAAATATCAGCTGACAATTGCTTATGGATCACCTTAGCTAAAGTGGCACAGTTCACATAGGTCTATGATAACACTGACTCACAAGATGTAATGTAAGCCATTGCAAGTTACAAGATAAAAAGCAGTTCTAACACAGCTCATTCAGTACATGAATAACATACAGTATATGAAATAGCAGCAAGAATAAAAAAAAAAAAAACCTAAAATTTGTAAATGAAGCAACTGGCAGTGCTGTTTTCCCGTGAAGTTCTTTTAAATTAGCTTCAGAGTCTGTAAGAGATTAGTCCCATTTTCCATTTTGGAAAAAATTCATGTCTTTTGAAAGACCAGCACCAACACTGCATAACCATAAAGTGTTGCAGTCCATGTATCACATCGTTAAAAATATTCATATAATAGGATAACACTTCTTCTCACATCCACAGATGTAATTAAGCTGTATACAATACAGGAGGGCTGCTTCCTCAAGTCTTCCAAAACAAACTCAGACACTTAGCAGTTAGTTAAAAACAGCTTTGATTGACAGTCTTCAGAACATTAGAAAGATTACAAACAACAGGAGGCCATTTTTGGTAGTTTGCAGTTAATTGATCCAAAGATCTCATCCATCCATTTCTTGAAAGAAGCCAGGGTATCAGCTTCAACAACCGGGCTGGATAGCTTCTTCCAGACTCCCACAGCCTTTTCTCTAAGGTGCCTCCGTTAAGGGCTTTTAAATGCACTTCCACATTGCTTCCGCTTGTGTCTTCCAGTTCATGTTTCACTGTTAATTCTCAAACCCATTGCGTTGGCCTTGTGTCCTTAAAGATTTGAAAAACGGATGCTTGGTCTTTTCTGGACTGAATCCAGAGCAACACTATCATTTCTGTAACGTGGTGACCAAAATGGTACAAAATATTCTAAATGATTTTTATAACAGGTGATGATTTATGTTGTGTTTTAACATAATATACGTTGACTATAAATCCTGATGTTTTGTCCCTTTGTTGCTTCCCCATATTGTGTAGAAGATGCAAATGTGTCAACATTAACACTTCTGCAGCGTCATCAAGCACAGCACTCATTTGTGCGTTAAAATTATTTTCTCAGGTTGCTTCCAGCTTTGTAATCTTACTTGCTTGTCTTTATTATTTTGACTTTTTCTAAAAAAAAAACATTTCTATGGACTTTTAAAAGGGGACCGAGGGATTTACATGTGGTCTTCTGAGGAGTTGTAAGATAATTCCTTTAGTTACTAATCTACTTCAAAGTGAAATCTAACTTACATTATTTGGTTAATAATTCTGCTTCCTGCATTGATGTGCCCAACCCATTTTGGACTTTTCCCACTCTAAAATGGCAGATCTACTTCTTGCTCAAACAAGAGTACAAAGTAATTTGCTTAAAAAAATATTCCAAAGTAACACTTTTAAATTGCCATGTTTACAGCCTTATACAGTATCTCAGAAGATTTTTAAATTCTCCTAAATTAAAAAAAAACACAAAAAATGTACTGTATAAAGAAATGCATTGAATGTCATACTGAGGTATTTTTATTCAACTAAACAAAGGTTTAGAGGAAAGGTTTTCCAACCTGATACCTTCTATGCAAAGAATGTGACACACACAAACATGCCTTTGGACATGCCTATATACAATTATTTCAATACTAAAGTAATTTAATGCACTAGAGTATTCTAGATACTGTAGCTTAAGGCTGGGTTTTGTACAGCAAAAACCACTTTGCTGAAAAACAGTTCCAATTTGATATTTCGGTGATCAGAAAACATCTGGATCAGAGCAGCACTATAAGGTTTTGTTTTTAAAGTACTTCAACTATTGATTTTAAAAGAGACTCTGATAACTACTAGAACAACTGTCTTCTGACAAATTAAGAAATAAACTAAAGACCATTTTGAACAACACTGAGCATCAAATAGTGTTTGATTTCCTATTTTAGCCTCATAAAACTACAAACAACAACTAAATCAAATGTATGTGATACAATTAGTACAACTAATCAATTAGGCGGCTCAATCTGACATTAAGTTTCTCAATTATTTTATCATAAACCAAAATATATTTTTTAAATTTTCTTCCTTCATTATTTGCTTCAAGAGCAAAAAAGCACAGTCCTCTATCCATGACTAACCTCTGACCACCCTCTGACCAATAAAAAGAAATGAGAAATGACTTATGTAGGTCTGCAAAAGCAGATTATTTTCACTGGTCCTATGATAAAATTCTCAATTCATTTGCTACGTAGTCATCCAACAGAGGATATTCAAACACTCTTTCACAGTCACTTTCTTCATCCTCATATTCAATAACAAAAGAGTTTCCATCCCCTTTACAATGCAAAACCCTGCCTGGCCACCAGGTCTCGGCACCATCTTCACTACTTATAAACAGGTGCTCTACCTGCTTTCCTAGCAGGTCTTCAGTCCTTACTGGTAACAGCTCCAGGTTGTTCTCTTGAAAGTCCTTCCATAGGTCAAACCACCAGACCATCTGGCATTCATCATAAACGATCTGAAAGGTCTGCGCACCCTGTTCTTCCCTCACTGCTATAACAGTACCTTTGAACCAGGTTCTTTCTCCATTTTCCACAGTGGCATGTCTAACCCTCTTTCCTAGAAGCTGCTCAGGGCAGCTAACCTTTGGGGTTCTTAACCCCCCCAACCCCATCTTCTTTCTTCCACTGTCTCTGACTTTGGCCTGCAGATAAACAGCCTCTTCCAAAAAACGTTTCTTTTCTTGGGCTATACGCTCAGCTACTGCTGGGGTGTATTCACCTTCAAGGTTTACCTTAACCTTTGCTGGGATCATCTCTGTTAGAGTGACTTCTGCCTGAGCCTCTCCTGCTAGACCCAAGCCTTTATTGGGAGTAAACTTAATTTTCTTCACTGCTGGACTGCTCTCATTGCTTGGAGAGATCGTTAATCTAGATTTTGCCGATGAACTACAGGTCCTTTTTGGAAAACCCTGCTCTACCTTTACTACAGCACTTTTCAAATTGCGCACAAGCTCATTAAAGCCAAGTTTTCTCCCAGCTCTGGAAATGTTAAAAATTCCTTGCTCGTTTTTCATGCCCAGGACAAATCTTCTAAACTTGAGCTGAGAAATAACTGCTGCATACCTAGAAGATTCATCTAAAAGTTGTATTTGTTCATCAATCTGTTCTTCGGTTTCCCACAGGCCTCCATATCTGCCCAACTCAGCTGTCAGCTGTTGTTTGAGAGTCATCTCATTTTCTTCACTCGAATCTTTCACTTTTACTTTTTTCCTCTCTGATAAGGCCTTCACCCTAACTTCTTTAATCTTCTGTATTCTCTTACCGAATGTAGCTCTTTGTTCCTTGACAGACCGTCTAGCAATTTCCAGCACTTCCTCTTTCTTTCTGGAATCCAGCTTAGAGAGCCACTCCCAGGTGCGATTCTCTTTGTACATGATCATTCCTTCAAGAGCAATGCCTGTGGCATTTGTCTTGATCCTGATTAATGTGTCAAGCACTCCAAAATCTCTCTCACAGCTCTCGTTAGTTTTAGGAACTGACTGCATTTTCTCAGCCACATCTGGTGACACCTCATCATATCTGCCGTGCTCCAAATGATCAGCTAGCATCTTACAGCATACCTTCACAAAACTAGCAAGAATTAATTCAACAGCTTGAACAGTCAGCTCATCAAACTCTGGGTCTGAACACTCACAAAGGCTATCAAACACAGCCCCCCTGTGTATTTCTATGTCGTCATATAAACATACCTGCCCTTTGACAAGTCTTGTGCCATCCTTCTGCCAGTCCTTAAGCTTTGAAACTAAGGTTTGGTATCTGTCATTCATTGCCAAAACATGTTCTTTCTTAGACATGACTCTCCAAAGGGGCTCTGTAATGATTTTGGCAACAAGCCCTAGAGCCCTGCACCCAGCCACATATTGAGGAACATTGAGATCTGCATGGACTTCAGCCACTAGGCTGTTGTCATGCTGAAATTCAGCAGTGAACTCCACCAAATCAGGATATAAAAAGTATACCCCTGCTGCATTGTGAAACACAATATTAATTCTATTACCTCTGAAGGGAGACAGTGGCACATAATCCTGTTTATTTTTGCTGGCTAAAAATGTTTTAAAAATAACAGGCTTTCCATATTTTTCACTGCCTTTTTCTTGGACGGCTTTACACACAGTACGTATTAATCTGACTGTTCCACATTCAGAAGTGTCGCTTTTGCAAACTTCTGGCAAGCACCGTGAACCTACATTAGCATCTCCAAACATCATTTTCTCCCACAGTGCAAGTGTCACATTTGCCTGATGCGCCAACCCATCAATTAAATGCAAACCACAGAAAAGCTCATTCACAAGAGAAAGTTTTGCCTTTTCGGATTCACTGTAATTGACAAACCTTTCAACTATGTTGGGGAGAATTTTTGATCTGTAGTCGGAGAGAATTGTATTGAACTTCTTCTCCGTGTTTGCTCTATCTCCAAAAAGATTTGATATTTTGACAAACACTTCCTTTTCTAAATGGTCAGTTTTATCAATATCTACTCCTGGGCTTCTCACAATGTCTTGGACCATTTCTTTGACCACGTTGAACAGGTCCATTGCAGAACCTGAAGCCTGTTCTCTAAGGCCTATATTTAGACGAGTTCTGTCTTTCAGAAAGATGCCTGCAGTACTGTACTTGTGTCCAAATTTTGTTGTGCTATCAGTACAAAGCGTGACATCAGTTTCTTTAGAAATTGTTTCTTTTACATGTTGCAATGCTACATGTCTTGCTTCCAATACCATTGTTTTACAAATACTTCCCTTAGGCAGTCTATCTACTTTCATGCCAGCTAGTTTTTCCAACACTGTCCTAACAACCTGAGACACTTTGCTGCAGCTGACACCCATGTTTGCCACTAAATCCATGTAGACTTCCCTCACCGTGTCATTGTACTTCGCTTTTTCATAAGTGGGTATCTTTTTCTGTACTAAATCCTCCAACTCATCCTTGACTTCAGTGTATCTGGCCTGCCAAAAATACACCTCGTCGTTGAGCTTTTGGATTCTCTTTCCAGTCGCGGAACGCAGATGGCTCTTGTTCACCTCCTGTGCCACTTTCTTATTGTAATTTGCTCGCATAGTCTCTTTTTTCTTTTCATATCTGTACTTTTTCACGTTCTTTTCTAGAATGGCGTTTTGGAGCTCCAGCCTTTTTCTTTCCTCCTCCAATTGATCTCTCTCAGCTTCAAATTCTTGTGTCAGCCTTTCTAATTTCTTTTCAAGCACCTGTATCTTGTTATCGCGTCGCTTTATCCTTTTGTTAATATTTCGGACACACAGCCTGGTTAGCTTCGCCTTTGCTTTAGCAAACTTCTTTGTTACCGCCTGGAGTTCCATTTTGGCCTTGTGCAGCAGTAGCTGTCTTTCTTTTCTTTGTTCAAGCAACTGGGCTTTTTGATCTTTTAAAGCCTCACATTTTTCCTTCAGCTTCTCAATAATCTTCCGTTTTTTTACAATGTCTGCCTTCAGGGCTTCAGTCCCCCTCTTGCTTGGCTCTTCTTCCATTTCATCACTACTGCAGCTTTCAATTTCTACGACAATCGATTCCACAGGTGACGCGAGCTGCGGTTTTTGTGGGAGAGGCAGAGAAAAGACCTGCTCCATGAATTCCAGTCTCTCTGAAGCAGAAACGTTGTGTTTCTTCATAATCACTGTTTGAACGCAGCTCGCAACACTACATGAAAAATAGTTTTTCTGTTGCTCACTTTCCAAGCCAAGATCAAAGTTATAGTCTAAAATATTAAAGAGAGACATATTCTTTGGCATGCCTGATTTCCTGACAAATTCATGAATTTCGAGCATAACACCATTGGTGAGCAACTGCTTGTCCACTTTTGGCCTTTCTGCTGCACCTGATTTTATGTTGAGTTCTACTCCTATTTTTTTACAGAGAATGTATGAATCTTTTTGTTTTTCACAGGCAGGAGACATGCTTTTATTTTGCTGTAAGAAATCTGGATTCTTCACTTCTTTTGGGATGGGGTGTACGCTCTCCATATCTCTTGGAGATTTACACACACTGTTTATATTTACAACAGGAGGACAGGAGCCCTTTTGACCTTGGGCAGGCAGTGTTCCATGCTGCTGTCCTTGCACAGCAAGCATGCTATACATTTGCTTCTGGACAGCAAATACAGTCTTACTTTGAGCATTTTGTACGCTGTATGTCTGTCCTTGCACAGTTTGCAAGCTGTATATTTGTCCTTGGACAGGAAGCAAGCCATAGTTCTGTCCTTGGACAGGACAAGCATTGTATATTTTTACTGGGAAAGAGCAAGGTATGATCTTTTGGACTGGGAGAAAACACACGCTCTGGTTTTGTTGGTGATTAGGAGTAGGGCTGCACTTTTGATATGGCCCAGGAGTTGAGATGGACATTTTTTTGAGGACAAATTTGTTCCCTTGATCCATCTGTTCGGATGCTATACAGGAATTGTCCAACTTCCAGTCACAGTTCAAACGTTTTACAGCAGGGAGAAAGCTGACATTTACTAAAACCCTTTTTGCTTCTAGTTTCAGACCTGTCTCTCTCTCTATATTTTTTTTTCAATTGGCAATTTTAAAGTGTGACCACTAAGCATCCATGAAGGTCTTTCACAATGAATACTACGTGAAAGCATTCTAATGCATTACTTTACCATTACATGTGCGAAATAGTTAAGATGTGATTTTACAGCTAATATATTAAAATTACAACCGAACATGGCAATTTAAAAGTTTTAACTACAGTTGTTAGTTTTCTGGACATTTCATTTACAAGCAGATTCTTTCAAAGCAAAGAATGCAAAAATACACATCATGACGTGGCTCGCAAGTATTCCATGTCTGCTTGACGTTATCTCTTAAAACTCTTTAATAACTACTGTTATACAGATGCCATTTAATTCTTCATTTACTGTCACCTATTTTCAAAGCGCTGAACTCTCGCTACGCATTTAGTAAAATATCCAAAAGACTACACATTGTCTATCGCTACGACTAGACAAGAAGGTAATGTGCGTTACAAAATGTCATGTTAATGACAAATCGGTAAATTACATTAAGATTTTGAGTAAAAAATACTATACTTCATGAAAGCAAACAGACAATTCTAATAAGCAAACCGTATTTTCCTGTAGCAAAATGCAACTTCATTTTAATGGGCAATCTGTTTCCCAATAGTACTCCATTAAGCCTACTTATAACAACTGTTCACTCCACTGCTTTATAAAAATGATCTTTTTTTTACTATCAGGTATGGTTGTTTGTTTACCTGATTTTCCCTCGGCCCCTACTCCTTCCTAGTCTTTTGGGTGATGCAGTCTCTTGTTTTTTGTGTGTTTTGCTCTTTCGACGGCTGTGCAGTCTTCTTTCTCCTTCAAATGCAATCGGGAGAGGCTATAAGTGTATTTTTTCTTTACAAACAAGACTCTAGCTCTAGCATCATCACGCAATCTCCCCTGAACCGTGAATGGCCACGAAAGGCAAAGAACGAGCATTTTACTGTGAGCAAGACCAATCAACACCAGCATTTGACTGCTTTCCTCATTCCTGATTGGAGGTTTTGTTGTACATTTCGTCTTGATAAGGTCTGAATAGTTCATAATTGCTACTGCGGACAAAATCATGAGGCACAACAGAGCCACGCTTTGAGCCTGAAAAAAAGCTTAATAAGCAATACCTATTGCCTATTGAGGATTGTTTAGCTGTTAGCATTTAAGATATTATCTTCAGCTTTTACAGTTGCATGCCACAGTTATTACTGGAAGGAAAATCTTTGTGTCTGTGATTAACCACTCATATTTAATGTATTTAAAAATGTGCGGAACACTAAGGGGACTGAGGACAGATGATCGATATTTACTCCAGTTTACATATTCACACAGAAAATCGACTGTTCTGTTCATAAAATTAAAATTAGAGAATCACGATGATTTCGATTAAATAAAATCCTTTAACAAGAAATTAAAATAGTACGAGTCTTACATGTACATATTAGTCTATAAGAAAAACACCAGTTGTTTTCGTCTAAATGAATCAAATTAGTTTTTTCTGTGGTATTTTTAATATTTTTTGTATTTTAATATTTTCACCTGAATCGAATTTTTTGCAAGCGCAAGCACGGGGCTCTTTCTTAATCTGTATACTGGACATAAAAGAAACCGATTACTTACATTTGCAATAGATTTACAAAGTTACTTGGACATGACTTTTTGCAGCAGGTGCATTATCGCTGATTTGAAAATATGACTGATGAATTTACTTATGTTTCTTAGCATTTGTTTTCAACATGTCTGATCAACAGGGGGGCTACTGTCAAAGTCAGAAACTGGGAGAATGTGTGGCTACACTTAGACAAGCTGTGATACAGATTGTAAATGCTGCCTTGTGGGATTCAGTCTCATGTCAGAAAACCTGCACAAAAACCTATCAAGTCCCAGTCTGTCGGGTATGGCAATCAAGGCATAAATGTCACATTTTCATCTGGCAAGAAAACCATTGTTACAAGAGCAGTATGAGAACATACTGTTCATTGTCTAGCTGGACATTGTCCATTGTCCAGTTATCACTTCAGGATATGCCCACAGGAAGAGGAGCAGGTGGGGTCCCGGGATTAATCATTGCAGAGCAGGCTGTCATGAATCACCCCCTCACAAGTGAAATTCTTTAATCCTGACCAGACCATCACATAGAACTTTCCTATTCATTGGTCTGTTATAAACATCGCTTAGTGTATCATTTGGCTCACTGACACCTATAGGGTGGTCTACACAAACTCTGAAGTCATCTCCAAAGAGCATTACACTCTCCCCCACTTAATTCACCGTCCTCGGCGAAGGGCTATCCCACCCCACTCTGACACCAATGTAGCGTTCTCGGGTTCACGTGGGTATGCGCCCTCACTGCTGCCGCCTCAGGTCGGACCCCCACCGTCGGGGACTCAAACCCAGGCCTCTGGCATCACTCGACAGGGACGCAGCCATTTGAGATAAAGGGAAATCTCCCTCCAGACCGACAGCTGCGGTCCCTGCTATTCACAGGGAAGGGCGGTGACGTCACCGCGCTGGTAAGCCAGCTCGCAAAACCTGCAATGGTGACCGTATGCGTTACAATAGCAATGCATGATGTACATGGCATGAAGACTTCTTTAGACAACCCGGTCATTTATGTTACTTTCTGTGTGTTTATTTCCCTTATGTTTTTCCATGCTTGACACTGAGGGTCACACGAATGACCAGATAATCAAGACAATGAAAAAAACAAACATTTTATCAACATAGAAATCTGTATGTGCTACTGTATTTTTCGATGTATACGTGCATTATAAGAGGGATAACTTTCATTTGATGCTCAGTGTATTTGACAACTCCCCCTCCCCTTATCTCCCACACTGTCATCATGACAGCCAACAGATCATACAGAAAAACTGTAACTCCTGAAGAACGTTTTCCTCCCTCCCGCCCTACCTTTGAATGTTGTAAAAATTATACAGCTACAGTATAAAGCTTAAAAGACTTTCCATTTAAATGTTCATCATTGAAGTACAAGCTGCTTGGTTCTATTTGTGAAGAATGTCTTAGAAATCTGTAGGAATATAATTATTTAAAAAAATGTTTATCTGTTTCAAGTAGAACACAAGAAAGTTTACAAGCAAGAGTAAACCTCTCAGCTGATCTAGCTGCTTCGGTTCCTAATAGAGAATTAAATCTTTTGTTGAAAGACACCAGGGTACTGGCTTCAACAACTTGGCTGGATCTCTTTATCAGACTCTCACAGGCCTTTGAGCAGACTCTTCCTGTTCTATAGTTTAAATGCACTTAGTTTCTGCTAAGTAGAAGTAGGACATTAAAAGTAGGACATTCCTTTAATAATTCCAGCTGTGTTTCTGGTCACTCTTTTCTGGACTGATTCCAGAGCAGCAATTTTCTCTAATGTGGTGACCAACGTACAGTATACAAGATTTTAAATGATATCTTACAAGTGGGGATGGCATGGAGGTGCAGTGCTCAGCATTGCTGCCTCCCAGCACAGGGGCCCTGAGGTGAATTGGTGGGGTGCTATCTGTGTGGAATTTGCATGTTCTCTCCCTGTTCATGCGGGTTTTCTCCAGGTGCTCCTTCCAAAGACATGCTGGTAGGTCAATTGGCTTATGTAAAAACTTGCCCTGGTGTGAGTGTGTGCCCTGTGATGTACTGGTGCCCCTTCCAGGGTGTATCCTGCCTTGCACCCAGGCTACCCAGTCTCTGGGCCACCGTGACCTAGAATTTTGTAAGCAGTTATTAAAAGTGGTGATGATGATGTGATCTTACAAGTGCACAGTGCCATTTTCCTTCATGTTTTATCCCATGCTTAAGGCAAATCTGTCCTCAGCAATTATCTGAAAAGATCACTGTTCCCGGTATTGTGCATTTAAAGTATTTGAATTTCTATTGAGTATATTGTCTGTCCCATTATCATGCACATCACCAATGAATAATTAAGTTTCTTCATCCCTAAGAATTATAGGTATCATCTCTCTTTAAAAAAAGCAGAACATAGACTCTTAACTGCTCAGTGTTTATCAATATTCAACTTACCTTTGACAAAAGTTCTAAAATGGACTGTTACTGTTTAGTTAGCAGCTCATTTTTCAGTAAATGAGCTTTATTATCCAGTTTATTATCCAGTTTGCAGATCAATGCATAGTACTTGGCAAGATTATAGTACTAGAAAGCTTGTTACAATTATTAATTAAATACTAAATAAATAATAAACTGCTAATGGCTGCTAACTGCTGTTTTGTTTCCATTCCTGTCAAGCTCAAGTGCCTCTAGTGATACAGTTCATCAATCCATCCAAATAAATAGATTAGACAGAGTTTTTGGTATTTATGACACTGTTTGTCATGATTTTAATCTTAACTAACTCAAAGAAAAGAATTTGTTCAAATCATGTGTTGTGCCTGCTTAACAACGTTGATCTCATGTACAATAGGGCTCCATTCTTGTTTCTATTTTTTTAGACATTAAATGTTACCATTGGGGAAAGTTGTTGCACTATACATATAGCAAGTTTTCATTTATATTTTAATGAAAGATTATGTTCATACAAAGCTTCAAATTGATCAAGTAGTCAATGTACCTTATCAACATTATCACACAGCAAGTGTTTTCTATATGCTAGTTGGGTCTTTTTCAGCAAATGTCATAGTTTGATCATTGATGGTTCAGGGACTCAGTTCATGAATTTTGGTGTCATTTGAACCTTGTATTTGAAGCTTATCTTCACAAAAGTTGTGAGAGAGTAATTTAATCTCCATTATTTTGACAAAGAAAAGGTAATGCATGTTACTATCTTCTCCAGTCTTGATTATCATTATCAGTACTTGTTTATTGAATGTGAGTCTGGTGTCTTGCTGTTTCTTTGAGCTCTGCTTCCTTCTTATCCTGTTATCAATGAAATGTTTGACTTTAAAAAAAAGTGAAGTACAGGCTTGTAAATGTATTTGTTGTAAATGTAAATTGTGAGTACTTGATGGTGTATTCAAACAGGTTATCTTGATATATTTATCTTCATTCTTAAATTTAAATCAAATCTAATTTAAATTTATCAAAAATATAAATCTGTTTAATTGGCTTTGCAGGCTATACGGTGCTTTCTGTTTTCTTCTTTGTATCATCTGCAAACTTGACTAGTTTATTAAATTATACAACATTCTAAATCATTGATATAATATAGGAAGGGAAGTGTTTCTAGTTCAGATCCTTGAATACCATAATGTTGAAAATTCAACCTTATTCATAGAAATATGACTGTAACTTGTAGAATTTTTCAAAAGCATCAAGCTACATACAACAAGCAGATGTTAATTGCATGCTAAACAAAATTCAGTTATGAAACCTCTCTCAGGTGTGTATGAAGAGATGGCTTTGCAGCAAGAATCTGTTTTTTGTTTTTTTAGTTTTCTGTAAAAAATGACCCTGTATTAATTCCTTTGTAGCTTACACACTGATTCAGCTCCTCACAAAGCTCTTCATATCTACCAATACTGTGTTATGTTAAACTGATGGATTTCTAGAAAACATAATAAATAAATATTTAATATTTAAATCTTGTCTAAACTTAAATTGTCACAGAATACTGTATTATATTATTGGTATACAGGATCTACTCATACTTCATAGTTAATTAATTTTTACATCTGTACATCTGTAACAATCTATAGGGGAATATATGTTTTGTTTTTCATTTGATATTGCTTCCCATCCAGCTGTTTGGTAAATGAAGTTGGAATTTGGTCAATTAGCTGAAGTGGTAAAGTTTTAGTGGAATTGTATTATTCAGATTTCTGAATATGAACAAGTAGGAAGAAGTGTGGGTGGATGGAGCTACAGGTAACTATATTGGTGGGTGGATTACTGTTATCATATCATATTTTTTACCTGTTTGTGTGACAAAATCTTTGCATTTACAGTATGTGTTTCATCCAGTACCCTTTACAAGAAGTCATTGTCAGGAGAAGGTCTGATTCTTTTGTTTGCCTGAGCTGTAAAAGCAATCATCCATGTAACCTATGGAAAGAGCAGAGTGGTTTTCTGCTCCTGCTGCGATCCAAAGTCTATTTTTAGCCTGTGGAAGGACTGTGGAGTGTGTTGACAGTGGGAGTCCTCCTTTGTGCCCATGAGATCAGTGCTGTTACCATAGTAATAAAGATTCATGACGTCCCTCCAGTCAAAATCTGTTTTTCTAGCTTCTTCTTCAGGGGAGGAGAATGCATCTTTGGAAAAGGAAATAGGATCAATTGTTCCAATTAAGACAAAACAGGAATGATGTGAAAGGCAAATAAAAATAAAACATGGTAAACAGGTGAAACAAATTTGATGCCAGTATTTGTTCTGTACTCATCCCACTTTGCTGAAGCTTTAAAAGTAGATTTTTAACCTACCTTGTATTACTCACATTTATCATTTTTTGTCTTCCTTGTGTGCTGCAGATCATAATCACATTCTGAATGTCTCTTTGCCCTTACAAGGTATTTAAATGTAGCCTCTAAAAGGTTGTGTTAAAGCAGAATGAGAGAATATCACTGCTGACCTCATGGATTCAATGCACACATGTGCACCTGTGGCTCTAGGTACTGCTGCTGCACAACTCTCAACCTTGAAACCTGATTTAAGCAGCTTTCCTGCTTAATTAACATAATTAACATGCGTGTGGAATTTTACTGATGTGGTTGGAAGTGACATCCAAAAACTGTAACTCGTGAGCCAAAAAAAGATAACTTGTAGTAGAAAAACATGTTATATTGATTGCTCTTTTCATATGTGGTTTTTTTATCTTGTTTTTTTTTCATATGCCAGATTTTTGGGTGATTATTATTCTTGTCATGAATAACATGAGTTTTCTCCTTTGTACGTGTTTATGTTTGCTTTCTGTTTAAATGGAAGATGCACTGCTCAAATAAAGAGCTGATTTCTGGGATATGCATCTTAAATAACACATGGGCCATTTTCTGGGTCATTAGGTTTAAGTAGAAGAGTCCTAATAAATGCATTGAATGCAAACGCAGTATTATCTACACTGTTGCTCACATTTATTAAGTCCATGGCTAAGATGTTGAGAGAGGGGAAATAAATGCTATTAATACCTGGGATATTTGTGTTTAGAATTCGCTTGTTTTAGAGCCGAACACTAAAGTGTTTCTTTAATAATTCTGTAGGAAAATAAGACTTCTTCACTATACTAAAAACATGAGTACAGAAAGAGTTATTGTTCACAAATGCCTGAAAATCAATGCCCATTTGAATGCTGCTGTATGTATGATTTCAACTATACCATTCCACATACACACTTGATTTAAAGTAAGCACAGAAATACCTAAGTCTGGAGACAATGCACCTCTTTACTCTTGAACCATCTGTGGTGATAGCACACAAAGGTAAGCTAATGCCATATTAGGTGGCTGATATGGTATTATTTTCTATCCTATGTCTAATCTTGATTATTTTATTTCATTTGCTAGCTTTCCCCAACCAGGCATGACCACTCAAATTCTTTACTCTCATTTTTTTTAGGAGAGCCAGAGATGAAACTTGTGGGCAACATGCACGGCAATGAAGCTGTTGGTCGGGAGCTGCTTGTGTATTTAGCACAATACCTGTGCGATGAGTACCAGCGAGGGAACAACACCATCCTCAACTTAATTCAGAGCACACGCATTCACATTCTCCCTTCCATGAACCCTGATGGCTTTGAGCTGGCAGCCTCTCAGGTCAGTCTTGTGATCTTCTGACTAAGGTAGTTCATTCCATATCTTCCAAACAAGCATTTTGACTAGTTAGCAAAATCTGTGGTACAAGTGATACAGACTACATTTTTTACATTTTAAACCAAACCTAAATCTAATGGCAAAGCGATAATGTAATTCTCATTTTTTTATGTTATAATGCTTGAAGGCTTCTGCACTTCAAATACTTGTTTTCCCTGTGCACCAAGGTCTTTTAACTCTGCTAGCCTACAAAAGCTTTTTGGATTTTTCCCCTTTTGTTAATCTCTAGTGCATCCAAGGGAAAACCACCATAATCAAGTCAAATGAATGTTAAAGCTCGGAAATTGACAGCTATGGAAACTTTGACAGATTTTATGTTACAGACATTTCAATTTAAAGAAAGCCTTGCAACACAGCTATACACTTTAAGACTGCAGCTTAAGTAAACAAGTAATTCATGCCTTCATGTATATAGAGAGGCAGTGTGAAGGACTGGCTTCTAGGAAGAGCCAATGGCCAGGGCATCGACCTCAACCGTAATTTCCCTGACCTGGACAAGATAGCCTATCTGAACGAGCGCTCAGGAGGCCCCAATCACCATCTTCTCCAGGACATCAAGAACCGTGTGAAAGAGAACAGCAAGGTACTTCCTATTTTGCTGTTTCATGTCACTGGCATAGTACATCAAATTAGTAATACAAATTGAATTAATTTTCCTCCATGAAAAAAAAACAATTGCAGTTTTCTGCTTAATTTTTTTCCATCTTAAATTCACACTTATCTGAATGGAATTGTGACTAACCATGTGACTTAACTGTATCAGTAAACAAGCGATCCACTAGGCCGGGTTCAGTAAACTTTTCAGACTGGTTTGCATTCTTTGCTCAGGTTGAGCAGTTCTGCCTTTACTTAAGATGGTAATTTCTAATGCTTACTTGTATTTCTCTTCCTGGCACAAACACAGACATCAACAGGAAATAAATTTGCAAATGTTATTGATAGGAGACTTTTAAACTTAAGAACCTCAATTACAAAATGAAAAGCTCATCAATGTTTATGTTGATGTTTTTGCTTTTTATGCATTTTCTCTTCAGTATAATTACATCTATCTCTGCTCTCTCTTCTTCAACACTTGAGCTGAGTGGGAAGTATCAAAGTCTCCACCCACTCCTGCAGTATGCTTTACATGAGTCAAGCACTGGCTTGTAAGTGTTTTAACAACTGGCAGCTTTCACTACAGCTTTGTATTCCCCTTATGGTGTGTGGTGTGTTAGTACAAAACCAAAATATTCCATCGAGATTACCCAGAAGCATATGCAAACAGTAAAGCCAATTTATGCCAGACTACTGTGAAGATGACTGTGAGAGACATTCCAGTATTTTAGCACACAGGGAGTGAAAGCAAGCATACAAATACTGTATCCTGCAGGTGTTAAACTCTAAATACTTTGTTAATATTAATCTGTCTACATCTCAATTTGCAGCTGGCCCCAGAGACTAAGGCTGTCATCAAGTGGATAATGCAAATTCCATTTGTTATGTCAGCTAATCTCCATGGTGGAGACATTGTTGCTAACTATCCCTATGATGAGACAAGAACAGGTAACAGTAAATGTTGCTAAAATATATGCAATACAAGGATTTTGTAAGACAGAAGAGCTGTTTTGCCCAAATGTAGAGGTATCGATAAAAGTTTAAACGCACAATGTGTATAGTATATTTCTTAATGAGCAATATTCTAAAGGGTTGATTTTTTTGTCGATGGATTATACCATGCTTAAGGTAAGAGTTTCCCTACTGGTGGGCTGCAGTGCAATGCCTTCATGCCTTAACAAGTGTGCCTCAGAATTTAAAAAATGTCACATTTAAGAAAATGTAAAAAATATGTGAATTAACTAATCGATTGTGGAGTGAGTTCAATTTTCAAGGACCATGCCCTTCAAGGCAGACTGAGATTCAACATCAAAATAAGTTGTTTTTATTCGTTCTGTGGTTGTGATACACCTTGTTTTCTGTCAAAACACGCAGGCGTGGATAAGCAGTACACCCCGTGTCCTGACGATGCCATGTTCAAAAGCCTGGCTCATGCCTATGCTACACACAACCCCGTCATGTCAAACCCCCACAGACTCCCTTGTGACATGGAGGGAGATGATGGGTTTATAAACGGAACGACCAACGGGGCAGCCTGGTATAGTGTCCCTGGAGGTATGGTGGCTGAAAGCCAGCAGACTAGCTGAAATGAAAGGAAGTGACTTCCTCTAGCTTTCCTGTAGCATATTACTTGTGGCAATTTACTCTTTTCAAAGTAACTCCCTTTGCTTATCTTTACAGGGCTGAGTTGTATTACTGTTAAAATCTACAATCATTTTGGGGATTTTCTGTATTTCAGAAATTTCCTGAGGTTGCGGTTACATGGGACAAAGATTCATTTTAATATTACTGCGTAACTAATGTGCGTAACTCACAAAATCTTGATATGGACATCAACAAATCAGCCTTAAAGTCAAAATGTGCAGCTTCTCCACAATTTTGTTCTCTCACAGGTATGCAGGATTTTAACTACCTCAGCACTAACTGCTTTGAGATAACGGTTGAGCTGAGCTGTGAAAAGTTCCCCCCTGCGTCACATTTAAGGAAGTACTGGCTTGATAACAAGGCCTCACTCATTAACTACATTCAGCAGGTAATGAATAAATTCTCATTTGTCATACATATTGTTTGACACAGGAATTCAGAGAACTGTTCTAATACCATGCTGGTTCACATCCAGAAGTGATTACAGTTACAACACATTGCTGCATTGATTCCTCTAGATATTCAGAGATATCCTTTGAGATATAGGTCCATTTAACCAAACAGTAGGTGGTATATCTATGCACTACACCCTGGTAATGGTACGGTAGCCTTTTGCAACCTGAAAGGCTTAATTTGCTACAGTTTATGTAGCACAATGTGGGTCATTCATCCTTATCTGGTCAAGCGTGACTCCAATGCTGCATACATTTTGTGATATTTACTTAGGGCTGTGAAGTATCAATACTTAAAGCCTTCACAACTTCAAAAAATCATCATGTCCACTTCTAGCAGAATGAATCTTACTGAAAAAAAAATTAAAAGGAAAATTATTTTTCATTTTCCTTGGAAATCTGTCAGAAGTGATAATATTTCCATCTGAGAGTTTACTTTGAGTTTAATGTTTCAGGTTCACCGAGGGATCAAAGGATTTGTTACTGACAGCGAGGGAAATCCAATAGCAAATGCAACAATTTCAGTCAAAGGCATCGACCACGACATCACCACAGGTTTGCCACTTTCTTTTCAACCACAAAATAATTGGAAACGGTTCTTTTTCTTCGCACTTTTCTCTCCGAAATGCAGTTGGCATAATTTTTTTCTCCAAGAAGAAAAGTTGTCCTAAATTTCACAAAGCTAGCTTACAGTAAATCAACTATCCAATCTTTGACTCTTCAGTACTAAGAAAAGGGAATCGTACAGAAATGCAAAAATAATAAATTACAAAAATGTAGAGATGTACACTTCCCTAAATAGGTTTGGAGTCCTTACCTTCATAGTCCTGCTGTTCTAATGCAGTTTTCTTATGGGACTGCAACTTATTTTTATAATGTACCAAATCTGGTCCCAATATTTCTAATCTGTTCCCATCAGGGCATAGTGTGAATGATCACCTCAGAGTAATAATAATTATAATAATTGCTTACACTTATATAGCGCTTTTCTGGACACTCCACTCAAAGCGCTTTACAGGTAATGGGGACTCCCCTCCACCCCACCAATGTGCAGCATCCACCTGTGTATCCTATGATATGTCTAGATGCATTCTTTATACAGACTGATTTCAATTCCCTGTCTGGAACAAAAGTAAATGGTAGACTTTATGGCCTTGGTACAATATCTGAGTGTCTAAGAACTGAGATGAACTCGTACTGTTTTCAACTCTTCACCAGCTGAGGATGGAGACTACTGGAGGCTTCTGGTACCAGGGGAGTATCAAGTCACAGCTTCTTCTCCATCTTATGAAAGTGTCACCAGGAAAGTGATCGTCCCACATAATCCTGCACAGAAGGTAATAGGGATTCAAGGGATGCTTTTTACATTTGTTTTAAATGTTTATAAAACAACACAAAATCATAGTTCTCTTCTTTCTATTCTGGGATTGAATAACATTATTTTATTTTGCAAATATTTTTGCCCAAAACACTTCACAGTAGCATCTCTTACCAGTTTCCTCGTTGTCCAGCAGCAAAGTTTGAAGAGACACTATTTTTAATACATTTCTCCTGACACATACTGTACCTTTATACAACTTTATCCCTCACTTGCTCTGAAAGCTCCTTGGGCTTCATAGTTGATTCTTTGCAGAGAAAATTGTAATTTTTCTATAACCATGTGAATCACTACTATTTCACACAGAGGCCATTCGATAACTCTGTCACTCCAAATTTTGGCCACCTTGACTAATGTAGGTTTGTCATACTTTCACTCACAAGTGTCCAGTTTCAGCAGTAGTGTTTCATTAAAAATATTAACTGTGTTATACATCATTTTTAATTAACAAATTGGATGGGGATGAATACTTTTGCAAGGTGTTGTACATGGTTTTAATAATTAAATAAAATATATTGAGTTAATAGATATTTTTCCCCACATCTGACTAAAAAACAAGTAAAAAAGCTAAAAGATTGTGTTCAACTATGATATATCAGAAAAAGAAAATTATTTACAAATTAACATGTCCCTGTCTTACTCACAGTTGCATTAAAACATTTTAACATAATTTTAAGAAAACATTTGCTGCCAAGCACATTTCCCGATCATTCATTCATTCAATTTATAAATTAGGTTATATTGAAAACCATAAATAGAAAAGAATTTACACCATTTCAAAACAAACACAACACAGCTGAAATATTGATTTATTTCTTTTCTTTTCAGTGTGGAATAAGGCTTTACCTATTTCTTTGCTCGCTTCTCTTAATGTCAGCTTGTTTCTGTTAGCTGTAATTTGTAAGTATGTTTGTGATTTTTAATAGGTGGACTTCAGATTGAAGGCACTGCAGCAGAAGAACAATGAAGAACAGCAGGAACTGGAGAGATGGTGGAAAATGATGTCAGAAACATTGAACTTCTGAACAGTCATGGTTATTTCAGCCATTTTAATCTGTTGCTTTCTTCTTTTCAGACAAGTAAGAGGGTACTGGTGAATCTTTGTTCTTGTAAATCATTGGCTTTTTCTCATGAAACATTTCAGTCTGATTCTCTCTTCTTTGGTATGCACAGACTCCATGAAACAAACCCAAGCAAAAATGTTAAAGTTTGGTTTCCCCAAATTATCCGTTCTTATAATACACAGTGTTTCTCTTTTATAGTTTTCAGGAAGTAAAACTGAAAAACAAAATCTGAAAACAGATTCAGCTGTTCATGTTAGCTGTAAGATGTTAAAAGTATACTGATGAAAAAAAGAAACGCAACATTTTCTGGAATGAGAATACTATAGTTATAGCTGGTGTACTTTCACAAAAAGTTGTCGATTTGTTTTAAGCCCTCTGACCAGCAATAAAGATTGTGCAGTGAGGCATTGCAAGTTGCCGATCACATGAAAGCTCATTAGGTGCACTTTTACCCAACGAGGTCCAGGTGGAACAATGCCCGATCAGGTCACCTTTAAAAAGGCCTTAATTCAAAGCTCTAGGTCACTGCAAAAAAAGGCCACACTTAGTTTTCTGTACATTCCATAATTCTTTTAATGTCACCAGAAGCAAGGGAGAGGACCATTGGCATGCTGCAGGCAGGCATGTCATGTGCCAGCATTGCCAGACACTGTGGAGTAGGCTGCTCCACTGTGTCCCGACTGCAGAGAAGGTTTCAGCAGATCGGCAGGACAGATAGCCATCCAAGATCTGGTCGCCCTCAAGTGACCACAGCAGAGCAGGACTGACATATCAGACTGGTCCATCTGAGAGATTTTTTCAGGTCTGCCACCCATACTGCTGCTGAAATTGCCGGCAGATACAATGCCCGCATCAGTGACAGGACAGTGAGGCTCCATGCTGCTGGCCTTAGAGCAAGGCGACCTGTCAGAAGCCCTCTGCTCACAGCTCCTAGACGTCACACCCGACTGGCCTGGGCCAGACAGAGGCTGTGATGGACTCATCAGTGGCATCAGGTCCTCTTCACGGATGAGTCACTCTTCAGCCTGTTCCACACAGATGGGAGGACCAGAGGGAGGAGGAGGAGGTGTTGAGTTTCTTTTTTCCATGAGTATACTGTATATACATATATTTTATAAATACAAGGAGAACACTGGTATCTATTGTACTAAGAAATGTTTTTCAGCATCTTAAGTCCTCTTGGATCAAACATTGCTTTGTACTTCCAAGCAAAAAAATAATATAAAGTCAGTTTTTTGAGAGACTTTTCGATTGTTTCCTTTAAGCGCTTTAATTGTATCTCATATGATACAAACATATACTGGTGCTGGTAACATCTGAGTCAAAATGGCAAAACTATGTTTGCCACTATGAGTTACAAACCATGATAAAAACAGGATTCTAACAAATCCATATGCCTAAAATAATCAAAGCTCAGATGATAAGAATGGATCATTCTGTTACAAAAAGATACAATAGGTAATTTCAGTGGGAAGGAGGTTACATCCATCAGTGAAAGATTTGTCATGTTTAAATTGGAAACGCCCTTGCCTTTAACCCTTTTTAATGGCTGAAAATTATGATTAGACTTTTGTGTTTACATAACCACATTATATACTGTATGTACAGTAGGAGGGATTTAGAAAATAATAATGGTAACTTTAAAATTACTTTAAACATAAGAATAATTATAAATCCATAATGCTTTATTTCTTGTATATAGTATAAGGCAATCATTGGTACTAGCAATTATCATACCAGGGATAGTAAATGTACAAAGGTTTACCATGTAATTGCCTTTTGACGGTAATAATACCTGTTATACACTTCATTAGTATCAGAAGGTAAGGCATATTTAGACATTTATACCTAAAAAACTAGCAATAAGCTGTTTTTCAGTAACCAAGAACTAAAATATGCCTTATAATGTACACCTAATAATCTATTAACTAGTATGTTACAAATCGTGTACATTTAATGTATGGCAGTACTGAATGATAATGTGAGTAAATAAGCAACGCAGTATGATAATAATACCAATGATCTTTTAATAACGTTTACAAGCTCCATTAAACTCACTAGAGTTCACAAAGCAGGTAATTTAATTGCAAGTGTTGAAATTTATTCCAACCTCCTTCCTAAATTTCTGTACAAGTTTACCCTGGTCTAGGTTTACTTTATCAAAGCCCCATGTGGCACATATCTAGCAACCAGACAGATACTGTCTGGTGACACTATAGCCAAGCTTAATTTTTCATCTGCAACGATCAGCTCACTAACCTCAGTGATCCCGTAGACTGACTAGAGTAAATCACATGTCCAGTGAGACAAGATATCTCTCTGATATTATCAAGTGAGACAGACAATCTTTGTAATGTGCTTTAGGGCTCTACAGGTTATAAACATTTGATTGGCTGCTCTGGATAAAACCATTTTTTGTGAATATTTATATACCAACTCAAAGTTTATTTATTTCATGTATATTTTCCAGACTTTAAAAGAATCTATATTACTCCAAGTGTTATAGTGGAAGTCAGGTTGCACAAAATAAGAGAGAATGTTTACATAACTATGTAGAAAATTATTTTTTTAAATAGAAGCTGATATCGTTGTAGTAGTTTCTACCTGTGCCAAATGTCTGTGGAGCAAATAAATGAAGCTATTCATTTCATCTTGAAGAATGGTGTATTTTTCCTCACCTACAGGATTCTGAAATATTTGCTGAATCTCACTGTAACACTTTACAAACTGCATAATTTCTTTCCTAAATGCCTCTGAAAACTGATCTAGAAACCATTATAGAAGGTGCTTTAATCATCCATTTTGTCATCCATAGACAGCAGCACTGTATTCTTATATCGACTCAAATACAATAACCTAATTTTAACACAAACCTGTCAGGACTGAATTTAAAAACGTGGATGTTACTGTCACTGAAATATTAAGGATATTCATGAAAAATGAATGAATAAATAAATGTTCCCCTTGTCTAAATCTTTAAACTGTATGCAATCTGACACTGCATGTTTTTCCAAAGAAAATCATTTTTAGTTTTGCTTTTAATTATTTTAACTTCATGCACAACAGATTTTGTCCACCAATCCTATGCTCTACTGTGAAAGACTGTAGGTAACATTTAGAAGATCACATAATCCAAAAATGAGTATAGGAATTTCCTGGGATTGTGGGAATTACAGTCATTTGTCCCTTAGAATTTCTCTGTAGGAAGATGTTACTTTTAAATTTGGGCAGCCCTCTCCTTTTTTTCCAGGTCATCTATAATTTTTAATTGCTGCGTGATTGGAGTAAGTGCCAGGTAAATGCATGGAATAGGAGCCTTCTGATTGGCCAGGGGGCCGCGGCAGGGGGCGCTGGGCGGGTGGTATGGTTGAACTGGAACGGTTCGTACTTGTACATGTCATATTGTAGTATACCTGAGAAAATGAGAAAGAACAGCACCAAGGTTATTCACTGTGTACATTCATTAGACTCCAGACACAAAAACTGAACTGTTTTTAATTTTTAAATTGCTGTTTAAAAATTGATCATTTTTTAAATACAATCTAAATGTATATATTAATTGGACATAGCATAATATGTATTATATGTATATGAAAAAGCCTAAGTATTTTCCTTAAAGTCATCATAGTCAGAGTAGGAGGCTTTATAGCAAGGTGTTTTTTAGAACTTCCAACAAAGTACTCAAAATCCCCAACCACCACTGGTGCCTTGGCCACCCTTTATATATCAAACACGATCTGATTACAATCTGAATTATGTGTATGTTCATCAAAAACCTTTCACAGATTATCTAATCAATTATAAAATGATCACCTTGTGTGTTTATTTACAATACATACTATGGCTGCCGTTGCATCATCCAGGTGGATGCTGCACATTGGTGGTGGTGGAGGGGAGTCCCCATTACCTGTAAAGCGCTTTGAGTGGAGTGTCCAGAAAAAGCGCTATATAAGTGTAAGCAATTATTATTGTTATTATTATAAGGGCCCTTTGGCGGCCTCTAGTGGCAGATCGCCTGCACTTGCAGTCTTTCCTTTGACCAGCCGCCACACCCTCCTTTTACGATCTTTTTCAGAGCTTTTTAACGTCAAAGTCTGAAAAGACAGTCTACAATTTTACATCAATAAATAAAATGCTTTAGGTGTATTCAAAGTCTCAGTAGTATTTGTTTGAATTATTCTTCTAGGTAATATGATAAATTTCCAAAGATTGGCACTTCTCCAGAGCCTGAATTTTGCAGTTTTATGACCTACAGTACCTACAATGATTTGATCGAACTGATCCTCCTTACCAAGCTACAGCATATAAATCATTTGAAGTCCATCCTTTATATCTATATACGTATCTTTATAACTATATATATTGACCATTAGCCTTGTTTTACCTCGTCCTGGTTTTTACCAAACTGTAAGGTTTCATAACGGTTGTCCTCTCTGGTAGACTCCTAATAGAAATAATTCAGAGGAGTAATGGTGAATATTAAAATAACGAATACATTTGTTTTATTTAACAAATAATTTCCAATGAAATAACAGGTTTATTGTTTTTAGCAACATACTGTACAGTATTTACATTTATATATCAATATATACAACCTTTTTGTCACACTAAAACTTTCTTATTTATTAATAATGCTTCTACATGTCTCATTGATTAAACAGCTTTATGCATGAGTGAAAAATAACAATGGACAAAATATTTCTCACATTACTTTTGGAAATAGAAAATTGGGCTGTGTTTTTTTAAGACTTGAATTATATCGCTTGTATTATTCTCTATCTTATAAGGACTTGTTTGAAAAAAGCAATACATTCAGAAAATCTGGTTATCTCATTTAAAGCCCTTTTCAAGAGCTTGCCAGTAAGACTAAACACTTAGAAAAGCCTGGTATCAACCACAGGTAACACAGCACCATACTATTTACGTTAACACGGAAACACCTTGAGTTCCTTTTGAAAATGTGAACAAAAGACACTTTATAGATAATAATCCTAATCATACTTACAATGCTAACACATTTCCTCTTTAGAAAGGAAATAAGATAAATCATGTATGTTTTAGGGCCAGTACAGTGGTCTAGTGGTTAGCATTGCCGCCTCGCACTGCTGGGACCATGTGTTCAATTTCAGACCTGGGGTGCTATCTGTGTGGAGTTTGTATGTTCTCCCCAAATTTGTGTTGGTTTCCTCTGAGCGATGCCTCCCACTCTTCATAAATATACTGGTAGGTTAATTGGCTTTTCGTAAAAACTGTCCCACATGGGAGTGTGTTTGTGTCTGTGTGTGCCCTGTGATGGATTGGCATTCCGTCCAGAATGTACCCTGCTTTGCATCCGTTGCTTGCTGGGATAGACTCCAGCTCTGCCATGACCCGGAATTAGAAGAAGTGGTTAGAAACTGGATGGATGGGTGTAAGTATGCATGTGTAGGAATGGTGAAAGGCAGTACTGTAGATTATTTTGTAGTATTTAGTACAGGAAAGCCAGACTCGTGAGACAGATGAAATCAACAGACTGTGGCTGAGTATATAAGCAGAAAGACACAGAAAGATACATGATCTTCAAATGACTTCTGGCTTACCACACATGTCTGCTGAGGTACCTACATGAAATGGAAAACAAACACAGATCAAAACAAAATGTTTAAGCACATCATTATAAAAAGTAATTATTCTGAAGTAACCAAAATCACTGTAGTTGAAGGTTAGACAAAACAAACGTCATATCAAGCCATTTGTTATTTTGGAATGATAAGGTCCTTCATAAATAAAAATAAAAAATTTAAATTGAATTCACTAGTGGCATAAGCAAATGGTCTGTGTATGCATGCTTACACTTAAACAAACAGTAAAGGTATAAACTCATTACTTGATTAAAATATGATTCCAAATGCAATTTTGTAATAGATATCTTATGGAATCTTAGTGTAGTTTAAGCATTATTTTTCATAGAAGCAATATTTAACAAAGTTAAATATAAGTACAGCTGTATGTAATTTATACATTTTGAACAGAAATTCTTCATTTCAAGCTTTATTATGCCCTAGGTGAAATATGTTTTGTGGAAACATATATAGGAGTTCAGTACTCTAAATCTATTTTGGTTCTACTTTGGGGATTATTAGTGTGATTGATCTATTCAAAATATTTTAAGGTTCACTATTTGCGTAAAATATATTCCCTAATATATATTAATGTTAAAAAAATGGATAAAATATATATCTCATGAAACAAAACACAAGTCACAAGTAACATAAGTAATACTTTTATGTTAACTTCATTCAATTTATATACTTTCAGTTGACTAAAATAGACTGTTCCTCAAAGAAAAGCTTGCACTTTGATCTGCTTGTTACCGGAATGTATATATCATAGTGATAAAGCACTGAGTTCCAGGACCAGCAGAGTAATATATGACCACTGGAAATTAAATTAGACCACTTATTCTTTGTGAAATCTTGCCTCAGCTCCAGACCTACACCTTCCTTGTACTTCCTGTTACTTTATCACTGACTGGAAAAAAGATTTTGTTATAAGATAACATCTAACCTTCTTAACACTCTCCTTCTCGTGATTAAAAGAGTGCTTTGTGCTGACTTTATTCTTTTTCTACAGTATGTATTCTGTTTTGTGTTCTTTTGCTTTTATCACAACATATTCTAAAACAATAAAAAGGAAACTACACAAACTGATAATGAGAAAGATATAGACAGACTTTTTAAAAGGTATATTATTTTGACTAGATTTATTTATGATTTTTTTATGTTTCTAACTATGATATGTGGATATATTTAGCAAAACTTTATTTTGCTTTGTCCCATGATTAAATAAATTCCAGCAAGCCTTACAAGATTTTTGATAGCTTTTGGTTTTGGTTTTGCATGCACAATTGTGTAATTTTTTTAAATTACCAGACTTAGAAAAAAATGTGTGAAGCGTACATTTACCTGTGCATTTCTTTTTTTCTTTAAGACCAGTAATGCAATCAAAGCCACCAGGAGGCAGAGAGCCACAAAGCTTGGGAATCCAGCAGCCAGACCAATTGCCAAATTACAGTTTTCCTTGAAAAGAAGCATGTTAGTCTTTTTTCTATGCTGCAAAGCCACACATTTATTTATATTACTTATATAATAAAAATGTGGCTCCCAGTTCTGTTATTTCATATATTTAAGTTAGGAGTTGAGCAGCATGCTTGGAAGTCCATCGATCTATTGGGTGTCTTGGAATATTTTTGGTTGCTTGTCTCTGGACTGATTCTAGAGTAGCAATATCCGTTGATCCATTTTCTAACATTCCAATATTCCAATTCAGGGTTGTTGGGGGAGCTGGAGTATATCACAACAAGCAGAGGGCGAAAAGCTGGGCAGACCCCAGGACAAGACGCTGGTCTATCATAAGTCTCACGAGGACACATATACAGAAACACACCGACACACGCAACCACACACCAGGGCCAATTTTTTCCAGATGCAAATTGATCAACAAATCTGTTTTTGGACAGTGGGAGAAAACCAGAGCACCCCTTCAATGCAGGAGACCATACAGACTCCATGCAGACCACACCCCAGGTCTGGAATTGAACACAGGGCCTCAGCCACGTAAGGCAGCAATGCTAACCACTGCATCACTCACCAGCACTATCGTTTTTTAGCATGTACTGACCAATATTGTACGAAATATTATAAAAGAGATAACATACAAGTACATTGTACACATTTTTGCCTTCAATTCTTCACTTTTAATGACGAATCCTACAGTATGTTTCTGTTTACTTTTTATTTGCTTAATTTTATTATTTTATTGCTTCCCCACATTGTCTGATTTATGGCACATCATGTTGCAGTGTAGGCAACTACGAATTTGTGAAGTGATCAGCAGATTTCTACATCATAAAAGTGATACATTTCCTCATATTGAACATTGTTTGGTTCCCGGGTGCTACTGCATCAACATGAGCTTGTTCAATTTCAGGAAGTACCACATACTTTTATACCACTTTGGCCCCTACTGGCATTCATACAAGATATAGATGTTTGTTTTACATTAAAAACCAAAATCCTTAATAACACTTAGGATCAATGCCAGTGAAGGAACGAACAACAGAATAACACGTACTATAAATACTTGCAATGGCCTACAGTATATGGTCATTAAAAATGGGAAAATTCAGTTTTCAGTGATTTTCAGAAATAATAAAACACGCTGCTCCTGCCTTACGGCATGTTGTATGCTGTAAGAGTCTCACCTTTTCTGGTGGAAGTAGGACTATGGCTGGTGTAGGTGAAGTTGAAGGCTAAGGATACAATTAAACATTGTTATTCAAAGGCTCAGGGCTGCTTTTAGAATGATTAATTAAAAAAGAAAGTCATGTCTGTCATTTCAGTTTCAGTGATTTCTCTACCACTGTGAGAAAATGTAAATCCCCAGTGATGACCATTTCATCCTTTACACATCTAATCTTGACTTCATTGTATAGGACTCATAAAAATACTATCTGAACGTGGTTGTTGGTTTTCATCGACTGTGCTACAGTTTTGAGGGTACATCCATGTATATTATATTATAAATGACATAGTCTTATTACATTATATAAGATCCCATAAAATTAACTTTGTATTGCTAAACTGTGTATTTAAAACATTAGTAGGGCTAATCCAGTAGTGAATAAAACACTTATCTAGATTCCAATAGTCTTTGTTTTATGAAGGATGCAAAATGAGTTTCCCAATAGATGGCACCAGAGTCATATTTGTACGTATTTGCATTTCTAAAGCTGACATCTCTAGAAATTGTTCATAATTGTTCAGTTTAAGACTGTCTTATTGTTTTCATTTAAAAAAACATACAAATGTATTTTGTAGTACTGAATACATTGTGTATTATATTAGAATATCTTTTATCTATTTTTCTGTTAGGTTTTGCAATTAATAATAGTAAACAGGTTTCTCCTGCCAAATTTGGAAACATCATAGAGAAGTAGCACTTCACATGACCATGGGCTGATTTTACTGTTACTCTGTCAGCATATACAGGTTTAAAGCTTACAAGTGTGCAGTATGTTAACCTCCCTCACCTTCATTACCTTAACCTCCATTTAGTGTAGGCCTTTTATTGCAAAGGCTGCTGCCTGGCTGACATGGCAGGAGACCTTAGTGAATTGGTAGCACCTGTCGCTAGTGGTAACAGATGTACAGTAATTGGGTTCAAACAGGAAGAGCTGAAATTTTGAAAACAAAATGATCTGGGCTAAAGTGTTTAAATCAGAATGTGGGCTACAAAAAGAAAAAAAAAACATTCTGGACTTCAGCAACTCCATTGTTTTGAAATCTCACTGTGTGCTTTTGAATATTAGTTGAGATTTTCTTTTTTGATTCAAGGAACAGACATCTCTTTAAGAGGAACAGTACTGAATCTCACCAGTTCTGATGTTACATTAGGTGAAGAGGTGGTGTTCCCTGTCTAAAAAAGGACAAAAAGAAAATCCTGCAGTCAGACATAATCTGAATAAACAAATGTACATATTTAATATCATTTTATAACAGCACCAGAATGACAACTTATTGCCCTCATTTCATGTAATCAAATGATTTAATTTTCAGTCTAGACAGGAAAGACATTAACTCATCAAAATAGAAATTGCCTTCTGAAGGAAAACACATATCTAAATCCCTCAGATTGGAAAGATCCTACAGCATTACCTTGCATGGCTCAAGAACAAGTCCCACTTCCAAATCTTTGTAGCTTCTGTGTTTTATAGAATTGATTATTTTCTTGAAACTGCAATACTGTTTAATAGCTCTGATATTTGGGTTTATCTAGAAATATTTTTATTTTAACAATCTTGAAGTTCAAAATGGGAGTGGGTATATTCCTTTGTTTCAACAAGTTTGTAATCAAACTTAGTAAAAACATACAAATAGTTGTAAATAATGTAAAAGGGGGGTGTTCATAGAAGCTAATTAATTACCCTAGATTGAGGATAAGTACATTCTGAAAGTTAAATAATAAAATGTCCCTGCTAGTCATGGAATATAGAGTAAAGGCACATAGCTTCTTTTATGTCCATGATTTTGGTGGCAATAGCATAACGGACAAATATTTCTTTGCCTAAACTAACACACAAGGCACAAAATCAGTATTTACGAAGCACTATTAATGTTATATATGTTCCAAAGCTCAAAACACATCAAACCCTTACACACTGGGACGTCCATGCTTACACTCAGAGATATAAATGTGTTCATTTTTTAAAAATAGACCAGTGTTCATTAAGGAAATAATACTCCAAAAATAAAAATGCACTATAGATTGATACTAAAATAATTATCTGGCCCTCTACAAAAATGCATTTAAATACTAGCAAGAGAGACAATCTTTGCCTTGTATATTCTTGTAAATATAAAGAAAGGGAAATAAGTGTGAAAAATACAGTTTCTGCACCTCCATTTAATGAAACCCTTCAGCACCCAATACCTGAATGTATTTGATTCATCAAGGAAGGATCCAAGTGGGGGGAACTCCTGTCCTTGCTATCCCATCTGTCTCCTGCCCTGACACCTAAGTCAACATTTTGAGTATACCATTTGTCACATGACCTGGCTGGACAGTTTCGGAAAGTCCCTGCCTCAAAAGTTGTCAAACATCTGGTGGTCCCTTTTTGATCAATTAGCTTATTGTATCAGAAAAAACCTGAGTTGTGCAAAAACCAATATTTTCATTCCCCTTTATGTCGGAATTCTGATTAAACTGATGCCCAGACAGCTGAGAAACAATGAAGTAATCAATACAGACATTCAAGATGTACTCAACACATGCTGTAGCAACATACACTGAGAAATATTAACAATTCAACCATTGAGCGGAAAGCAATAGATTCTCTTGTGTTTTTAATTCCTCTCAGTATAGAGCAATATAGTACCCTGTAAAACACTGCATTGTGCTCAATTGTAAGCTTTTTCCAGCAAGGGGTACTGTATAGCTTAAGTATAGTTCCCAGTTGCTTGCTTTTAAAATACTGATATGCCAGGGAATGGTTTGGTGACACCTCAAATTGCTCAATCCAATGCAAAATTTAGTTATATGAATTATAATCCGGTCAATTGTGTTTTTACTAAAATAACAGAGGCAGCAGTTTTCAGTTGTTTATTCTTTAAACTCTCCTATTTCAGAACTGGATCATGTGCAATAGGAAACGTTGTTTTTCTGAAATCTGAGCTATTGCACTGATTGACCATGTAAACAGCCTTATTGCAGCCAATAAGGAAACTACTCTGGGATTTACTGGAATAACCACACACGCACACCTTTATTTACAGTGGTATATATTAAATATCTACACTATCATATTTCATTCTTTTTGTGAGAAATCAGTGAATTGGAAACAGGAAAGACTTAGCAATAACAAAGCATATTAAACATTGAATATAAATTTAAAAAGACAACAAATATGCAGTACTTACCAATAAAAACACAACAGTATCTTGTGTGGTCTGTGAAAAGGAAAAATATTTTTTAAGAGATGCTGTTTGCCATCTAGACCTAAAAAATCTGACATTTTAATTCTGTAACCGAATAACATTATTATTCAGTGATTCAATCTTCCATAGTCCTATTCCATTTTTACATAGAACTGCAATTTACTAATTATTTGAGTGTGAAAATATTAATGATTGGCTAACAATAAAGTTCTCATCACATCATCAGCTTTCTATCATTAACTCTGCATTTTTTATGTGTGAGCATTTTACAGAAAAATATTTATTACCTGTTCCGTTTTTGAGTAGAGCTTATCTTCTTTTAGTAACATCACCACCATCTGGGTGTATGTACTTGAGACTAAAAACATTTTGCTATATTTAATGTAGTTGACCCAGCCAAATTCATGTGTTTCATATTTCTTGATGAAAAACAGATTTTAAAGGTAAGCTGCTTTCAGCTTTACGTAATATAGAAACACACATTTGCTCTCTTTTAAACCTTCAGTTGTTAGTTAGACCCCCCAAAAAACTACTGAAGTCTTATCCTCAAGAATGTGGGCGGGTCACATGGAGGTGAATGTGTTGGCCCCTTAAACTGCTTATACTAGAACTAGACTTGGAATTAAAGGCTTTTAATCCATACTTTTTGTTAATAATTAACTGCCGAAAGTTGGATTATGTTTTATCATATCTGTGGATTGCATGTCTGTTAATACAGAAATAACTTATTTCCTGTAAATTGATGAGTATACAACAACAGTTCAATAAGACCGACCATCTTAATGTTTTACTGAGAACCCACTCCTGCAGTTATACTATAGATCATGTACTGGATGTTTGCAAATTATACCTTAAATATAATTTAAGGCTTTTTTTCTAGCTAAGCAAGCCATTTGTTTCATTACTGGGGTAAAACCTTTCCTTGTAAACATGGATAAAACACGACTTCATAATAACTTTATAATACCCAGATTATGACAATTTTGAACGTTGACCTGTAAGTTCTGCAGTTTTTTATCTTATCGTGGGGATTTTATAGGCACTGTATGAAAAACGTTCTCCTCTTTTTCATTATTCATCCTTTATTGTATTACAGAATTTGTCATATGCTTGTTGAAAAAAGCCTTTCTAGAGCCTTAATTTATCAGACTTGTTTTTTTTCAATCTCAATTAAGGTGGCCTAGAAAACAGTAGGTTACTGTATATTACCCAGCACATGCAAATATAAATCAGAAATAGAACACAGCAAATAGATAAGCAAGCAAACAAATGCAACCTGATGTGGCAGAATTTTTCAAATTTGGAACATATTATTTTGCTTTTTAAAACCACATAATTGCCTACTTTTAACCAGTCATTATCGATTGTTCTGTACCAGTATGCATGGTACCAGTTGCAGGGGGTTCTACTGCAAGTCCCAGTCCCACAGCAGAGGTACGAGTGACTGGAATGGAGATGTAGGAGATGAAACTAACAGCTCATCGGTCCCTGTCACAGTATATGCTACCGGAAATGTTACTGTGTGGTATTTCTATGACACCCAAACCCAGAGGTGGCTGACCAGTTGAGTGCTACCAGTTAAGAAACAAACTGCAAGTGACCTATTCCACACTATAGAAATTATTCTGGATGAGAATTTCTTATTGATTCAGACACTTTGATGAGACCCAGATTTATTTTTTGTGTAATTAATATGGCTCATTCCTGATCCATGATAATGCAATTAAAATATCTAGTAATTAAAATTATATTTCATAATCAAGGAAATGGCACTGAACAATTTACAGCAATTTACAAATTTAATTCCAAATACTTCAAGAATTATTGCCACAGCTCCTTCAGTACACATACAAAAAAGTCTAGAATTTATGTTTCACAGGCACTTGAACAGTCATGTTCTTTTAAATTTCATGCTCTTGAATTGACATTTTCTCACTTAAAAAAAAACATTACTCCACACAGAGTAGCTATACAAACACATAAGCACCTATTCAATCTGTAGTCATGTTTTACATTCTTTTTCAGTTCTGTTTGTGTGAACACTTACTGTTTAATCAAATACCAAAAAACATATCCATTTAATGGACCTTACCATTTTAAAGTTGTAGAAGCTTAACAGGATAAACAAGAGATTTGATCTGCCACACATCTGGTGTCACCGGTACTGCCTGCTACGAAAGTTTAAAAGAAGAGGAAGCAAAACTGCTGTCTAGTGATCAAAGTCTGAAACCTCGTCTACATAGCAGTTATCATGGACTGAAAAGAGAATAATCTCTTTAAAGAAATGGGGAGTTAACATTGTGTCCACTAACTCTGGGAGAGGCAGAGGTGCTCTGGGTTAGTCTTCATGAACCAGGTGTGTTGTAGGCTTTTACAGCAAAAAACAAAAAAAACAAATTAGTAAAAATTAAATTATTGGATATTGTTTTTTGTATTTCAAGTAGGGAGCTGCATCAGCATGCGTAGGCTGCGAAGGAACAATAGGTTTATTCCATGCTGAAAAGAGAAGAAAGGAAACAACGTTTCGGCCGTGGAGCCTTCTCCGGGTGTGAGGGTTGTGTTTTATATTGTGCATTAAGATAGTAATTAACTGTATTGGAGTAATAAGGAGTTGATTTACTGATTAACTGAGACACTATTATTTAATCATTACTTTTGTGTTGGGTTTTAAGCAAGGTGAATGTTGTCTGCTTACTGAGATTAACAAACAAAACATCAGATTGCTAGGACTCGACACAGAAGATTTCGGTTTCTTTTAACTTTGAATAAAAAATAACACAAGGACAATCTTTCAGGTATTTTAAAATCCTGTTTTAATACCAAGTGTGTACCTTTCAGGCACTTAGGATCATTAAATATAATCCCAGTCAATACATAATAAACCAAAAACAGACATCTACACACATACATTAAACCAACGCAGACATTTAGTGCTATATATAGTTTTATATGTAACAATGAAAAAAACTATATTAATGCTAACTTATGTAGCATATTTTATCTAGAACACATTGCAAGGCATTGCAATGACAAAAAGGATATAATAGCCAATTCTCTTAGTTTACAATACAATATCTACTCAGTCCATAATGAGTGGTACTGTATAAGATAAGAATGAGGTCTGAGTTTTTGCAGTCACTACACAATAATACACAAAACAAACAACCTGAAACTTGGTTATAAGCTTAAAAAGATTAACAAATAAAATTAATAAAAGCCCTGGTGGTGAATATCATAAACTGTAATACTGATGTTCTCATCAATATTTTTTAAAACTATTGTCCTTGTTCTAAATTTTAACAATTGATACACCTGTGATTTTTCATGCATATATACTCTATGATTTTTTTTTAAAGGAACAAAAAGGTATATACTGACATGCATGTACGATTCTATGATTTTTTATCTTCATTGTTTTGGAATTGTCACTTTGTGATCTGTGATCCATAGTTTGGATTAAAAAAAAAAACACTTTTGTTCCGGGACTGCACATTAGTATTAATGAACATTTTATGGGCCCTAGTTGTAGTCTGTGTTTTCACATTCCCATGAATAAACAGTGGTTGATATACAGTACAATAAACAACATACAACAGCAGCACCTTTTATGAAATGAATTACCCAATGGAAAGCAGGTTCAAGTAAGACTCAGTGGAGGACTGATCTGAGAATAATAGCGAAGGTTCACAGCAAATGTTGTCAAGGACCTTATTGTTTTAAAATCCTAAAAGCTGGTGACATCTTTGTTTTTTTCCAGTTTGAATGTCATGTGTATGGAGAATGCCAGCAACCGCTTACGTTCATGCGTATGAGCGACCTTTACTATTCACCCTCTTCTCAAAATAACTCTCTATTGGAATTCCTCAGTATTGCATACAGGTCATAGACATACAGTTCAGTATGTGTCATTCATTTAAAAAATGTCAATTTATTTACTTTTGAGGATATAAGATAATATAATGACTTCTGTTGTGTGAATCTGAATTATGGCAGACTATTATGATGGGAATACAGTACATTTCCTTGACATATTCTTAGATTTACAAGTGGTTAAACATACAGGGAATCTTTTATAGCTATAAAGATATTTGAAGTTAATTTAAAAATACAGATGAGCATATGAATTTGTGCAGATTTTAGGACTATTTTGAAGACCAGGTTAGCTCATGACACAATATTTAATGGAACATTGAGCTGACTTATTTTCTGAATAAAAAAGTACAATGACTAACCGTAGATCTGGTTTTAAGTTCTCAAGAAGGCTCCAATTAGGTATGGGAAAGAATGTACATCTTCATGGTTTATTTTCTTTACTCATGAGATTTTATGTTCAAGCACTTTAAGCACAACAATGAAATATGGGAAGGTTCTTGAAAATAACTGAAAAGCAGTTCAAGGACAACCCTAAAACGATTACAAATTCAAGATGTGAATTTGCACAGTAAACAAGTACCTAGAGAAAAAAAAATCAAAACATTGAAATTCAAATCAGAAATGCTAAAAAATCCTCTCTCATTCCAGTATGCAGGGGTTACAAATATATTTTCAGACTCAATGAAGAATAATAAAAAATATAGTTCAAAATGATGTTCTCATTCTCGTCATGTGTTCTTACTGCATTAAATAGTTTTTTATGTTACTGTATTTATACAAATGGCATGGTACCAGCTGTTCATATTTAGTATTGTACTTTTTTGTACATATCTTAATTTTTGGAAATAAACCGCTCAGAAACTAGTAGAGCAATCTCTGTGCTATTGATTATATAAATCTATATCCTGTGTCTTTGATACTAATTGCATCCTTATTAAACAGCATATCATATCTGACAATGTTTCAGATTCTGCACTATGGCAAATGACTAATTATTGCTCGAGTACCTGTTGTTGAGGACATGAATTGTACATTTATCACACCAAGCTAAACTGATCCTTCAATAGGTTTTCTTACACCTATGAAGTAAACACCCTGAGAGTGAATTGGTGACAGAAACGCTGGTCTTCTCATGTTGGCTGTATCTTAATTTTAGATTAAAAATAAGTGGCTCCATGAGTAAAAGTGCTGTTTGGGCTCCTTGTCTGATGCTAGTTAAGTAACTAGGGGCCTGTGACTGGATTCCCTGAATGGCAGAGCACTACTGGCTGAGCACTGCCAGGGGTAGGGTGTGATTGTTTCGGCCAGGATTCTCTCAGTTCTCAGTGGGCCTAGAGGACTCCTGGTAGAGTTGTTGGCATGTAGTGCTGTTGGTGAGGGACGTGACTCTTCTCCAGTTGGTGCTGATCTTTGGGCAGAGCCCATGATGTGTTAAAGTACGAGTGAATGAAAGCTGGGTGGGTCAGTGGAATCTGCCTCGTCTTCCTCGAACTGCCTCATGTTTGTGGTCCCTGGGTTCACAACTGCAACCCGAGACATGAAAGACACACAACTGCCAAATCAGGTGGGTATAGTAAAAATAACTGGCAATACTAAAACAAAAAAAAAGGATCTTCTCAACATTGTATTTTTTGTGGTTTGTTTACCTAAGATGGCACCAAATTCAAATCAATAAGTATTTGGCAATTTATCACATACCTGTATTGTAATTACTGCAAGTCTAAGGAATGTGATAGAGAACCCCGCATCTTGAAACGTTTGAGCCGAGGCTTAAACCACATTTATTCTTCACCGCTAAAAAGACTGAGCGGACAATTATTTCAGTGCTAAATATGAATTTAAAGAATGTGCTTAAAGAGCTTTCAACAAATGTTTGGAGTAGTGAAATAGCCTAGGATGCTATGTACGCATTAACACAAACCTTACAGTAAATCAATTTTTCTAAAGAAACAAAAAACAGGGATTAAGTAAGTTTTAAACCTGTCTGTATCTTGTATTTCGGAGACATCTTGCTCTATCCTTTCAGGATTCCATGTACATCAGAGGAACACCGCAGCATCAGTGGCTAGAGCTGTGGGCCACAGCCTGGCTGCTGCACCATGAGAACTACTGAAAACCGCCTGGAGGGTCATGGGAGCTGGGAATGCACTTTTACCTGAGCATGAGGCTAGCTGGAATATTGGAGCAGGCCACACTTTTCTGTATTATCTATATTACTGTTTAGTTATGGTGGTATTAGAGAGAAGGTCTTTCAGCATGAAAATCCTTCTGATCAACAGTCTTTGTCACAGATGTTTCACACAAACATGACTACTTAATCACAGTATGAAAAAGTCCTACAAAACACTATCAGTTCTTAATCCTACTGAGAACACTGCTGCTGCTTTGCAGAAGTGCAGTCCTTTTCCAAACCAAGTCGAAACAGGAGCAAATAAAAAAGCTCTTATCATTCCTTATCAAAACTCCTTGACTTCATCAGACTGGTACGTGAAGTACGAAAAACATACTTCTGGTCTTCTGTCCTGAGGTTACACCCACCTAATCCCCAAAACTGCCTCTGAAAATCAGTAACAGGGCTGACTTTGTCATTCCCTACAGAAATACACTTTCAAATAGATGCCTTACTTCAGGATAAACTATCTTCTAAATGCAGGGCAAAGGAATTACTCTAGTCTAATTGCTAATTTCTGAAATCCTTCCATCTCTGACCAAAATAAATTACTGTTTTTGAACAACACCTCAATTTTAAACAATCACAGATAATCAAACCATTAGATATGTCACATGTACCAAAGAATGCAATTCTTAATTGTCATAGTGTAAAAAGACAGAAATCTAGTAAATCAAGGGGTGCCTTTCAGGCAGCTGTACTGGACTATAAGAAATACAGTAACTGTTGAAATGTGGGCAGTCATGAATGCTGCCTAAATACTGGAAATGGAATTTTAAAACTCCAAAATTCACACAGGATGATATATGCAGTTTCTTTCATTTTCTTCTTTAGCATACCTAATAACCTTATATATTACCATATATATATTTTTTTTTCTCTATGGCTTGGTAAACAACTATTTTTTGGTCCTGATCAGCAGGTAATTGGCATGCTTGAAAACCTATATACTGTATATATGCATATACATATATATATAGATGTTTTTAGGGTATCTTATACACTATTTCAATATAATTATCTTACAGAAAAATACCCTTAAGTGAGACTCCTGAATTTGACTTGATTTTTTACTGTAAAATAATCTTTTTGATGTTTTTACAGTAACCTAGTATATCTGTTATTGTAAAGGTTGAAGAAGTCCTAGGGCATGCTTTTCACATGTGCAGTGCATCCTGAAATTTGGTGCTGGTGTATCGAGCATGGAATCCTTTTTTGTTAATGGTGTCATCCGAATGAAAGCGAATCATTATGGAATCTCCTGCTGAGTAGATTTCTTCTGGAGGCTGGAAAAGAAAAAAGACAGGAACGTTACATCTTCTCTTTCATTTACACCAACTTCAAGGGAATCTTTCAAAGGTTAGTGTAAAAATACACTTCCCAGAACTTTGGGAGATGCATATAAAATAAGTTTACCTGGAATAGTTCTATTAATTATTCCCACATTCAAGGCATTCACAAAATACACATAATACCAAAGCACTTTTCTCTCTCATTTCTCTCTTGTTCTAGCTGTGAGCCAAAAACAGAGTTTTTAAATAGTCATTCTCCTACTCATTCAAGTTCCTAGTCATTCTTGAGGAACCAGCAAAATAATATAAAAGACATTTTGGTTTTATTTCACATGGACTATTAAAATCAGTATTCGCAAAGTACAAGTTTATACAATCCTGACTTGTTACTTAATGTTGCAGTGAGTTTGAATTTTATAAAAAAATTATTAAATTCAAACAAGCAGTGACTTGGAACACCTAAGTAACAACTCCATGTACTCAAAGAACAAGAAATGACTCATTTAAGAATAAACACAACTGTTATTTTGGAGCATATATGTTTAAAAAAATTCTGTTATGGGTAAATCATATTCTATTCCCAGAAATATCACAATGTTATGCAGCACATAACATGCAAGGAAGAGATCAGAAACTTTCTCAGGCCTACGCAGCAACACCCTGCCAGATGTGTTGAGGCACGAAAAGAGATTTTAAAGTCCCAGAAGCACATTCAATTACACATCTGGTTGAACAGTGTCACAAAAATAAAAGGTTTTTTCTGCAGTTAGGATTTCATGCAGCTTGTCAGAGATGAGATCTAATCTGGAACTCTGATCTCCCAGTCATGAGCATTGCAGACAAAATGACATTGCCAAGCCACTAGGTAATACCTAGTGCATTTCTACCCTCAGCATGCAGAGAAAATGAAACAATGCAGTTTATATTTATGCCTCTCATACATAAATACTAGTAAAACTAGTTTGGAAACTTAAGCAGTAAAACAAGTACTCCTTAGATCCTGGACATGAATATACTGTAGTGAACGTTTACATCATCAAAGGAGGTTTTTTTTAACCCTAGGTCTAAGGGCGCATCTGTACTTTGTGAATGTGAATGATTAATTCTTGCTCTGAGGAGCTGGGGCTCTGAAGTTTCTGTCATAGTCCTACATTTCTGGACTGTTGGGGGATCTACTCAGTTTACGGTCGTGGTCTGTTTTGCAGAATTTGCTGGGAGTGGAGGCACTATCACATGGCTTACACAGCCCACAATTCTTTTAGCTCACAGTGCATCTTCAGAACTTGGTCTTGGTGAAATCAGACCTCCTGTTACTTCTCAAATCAAATACTAGTTTATTGACTAATTAGGTCTGGCAGAAGTGAGAGAAACAATCACAAATTAAATAGATTTATGACTGAGAAGGGAGAGTGTGCCCCCTCATGGAAATCAGTAAAATTACCGAAAATCGTAAGCATTCAACTTGGTAAGCTCTAAAAGAGACAGAAGGCTTGTTGGTGCAGCAAAATAGCTGATAATGAAACACAGATTGCACCTCTCACTCAGAGCAGTTCATACGTAGTTTCATATGTACAAACAATCCCAAAGTGACCTAAAAGGTAAAAAGTGCACAAAGACAGTTTTAAAGCACACTTAGACACTTCTTGCAGAAATATTGATTTCTAAGGTTCCTACGATTTTAGATACACACAACATTGACATTGTGACACGTAAAACGAGGAATGTAAACTAAAGCATTTGGAATAAAGACTTACACCTGAGCCACAGAATCTGCCGAGCCTTGGTGCTGTACTGTCATAACCATCGTAGATCTCCATATAATCATAGCCACAGTCTGACTCTTCCTCAATCTCAAATGTCTGGAAGATAAGCTCTACTCCATACCCATCTTCAGCCATGATCACCCAATCACAGTCAGCTTGGCTTGGATAATTGTTGTCCCCAAACTGGGCATGAGAGTAGAGATCATTTGTTCGGATCTCTGCTTTCAAGCGGCCACCGCATTCTAGAAACATAAATACAGTACACTAGCGAAATCAGTTTTAAATTCTCCAACAGATGTGGATAGCATATTATACAGTATGTTCACCATTATATTTCTGACTGAACAAGCTCAGAAAAAAGGAGCCGAACTGCAAAGAAAGTGCTTATTCTGACAAGGACAGTGAACTTTACAAGAACAATTTTAGATGCCCTTGTTTCCATAGTGCATACGTGCATAACTTTACACTGAGGATCAACATACAGTGGGGCGGTGTATGAGGCACATACAAATCCAGATTCTACATATGCCAGCATTTGAAAATAATGTTCACCCGTTGAGCAAGACTACCCCATACCTGTGCTGTGCTTTGCATTAAATCCTTTCCTTTGAACAGAGGCATCAGAGTAAAAGCGCAGGAACATCTTGTTAGAGGTGGATATGACTGGCTCTGGCTTTTTGCTGCCACAGAAGCGGCCAAGTATTGGTGACTTGCTGTTGGGGCCATCATACAGCTCGAGGTGGTCGTAGGCACATTCCTGATGCTGCTCTATTTCAAATTCATTGAACACCTGGTCCAAACAAGCAAAGAAAAAGGAATACAGTGAAGGGATCAGCACTTCCACCAAGATTTCCATTTCTTCCTAGAAACATTTTGTAAGAGAGAAAAGGCCCAGAAAATAAAGAAGACATGTCTGGTAAATCATCAGTACAGAGACACTGGTAAAACTCAAGAAATAACCATTGTGATGTTTTGACATTTTTATACAGGTCTAGGAATTAAGGAGAGAGGTATGTTTCCTGTGGTTGTCTTAAACCTGTCTTAAACTTCCTGGCTTCATGAAAAAAAACAATATTTACATTAATATTCTTAGGATTGAAGGGCTCTTCAAAGAGTTGTCAAGTCCAAGTGTATAGCCAGCACGTGGAACAAGACACAGGAGACAGTTTTAATTAAATATTACATGTATAGTACAAATTGAATTGTAAATTAGCGCCCAACTTCATGTTCAACTCCATCCCTATAGGGTACACATGAAATGCACTTTAGAAAATGCCCCATTTCTGTAGAATGAAACAGGGCAATAATACTGTATGTTCATATATGTGACTTTCTGGATATACAAGGAAGATCCTTACAATCTTAACACGGTGACCAGCTGTAGAGGAAATCTCCCACTTGCACTCTTTGCGGCTAGGGTACTTTTCAGGCCAGTTGGGGCTGCGGATCACTCCTTCCACACTGGTTATCTTGTACTCACAGCCCGCTGTTTAAAAGACACAAAAGACATTGAATTTACTTGCCTAGCTCTAGGTGTCGTTTCCCCACTAAGCCCAAGCAGAACAAACATCAATACAAGATATGATTTTAAGTTTGGATCTGGATATTTTGAAGCCAAAAACAGCAATGACCCAAGGTGACCCACAGTTAAGCCTCCAAGGCCTCCAGACTCATTTTGCAGGAGAAAACCATGGTACGAATTAAAGCACTGGTTTGCCCTGTCAGATTAAGAATTGAATGGGAATAGCTGAAGGAATGAGGGCAGTTAATATAGAACAACAAGGAACAGAACCACAAATTATTTCTTTCTTCCCACTGGCAGGACTGAGATATAATGTAGCACCTGTGGTTCCCCGGATATTTAGTTTCAGACACTCGGCAAATGTGCCCCTGACTAGTTCTGCAGCAAATAAAAGTTCACCAGTGAACGGGATTAGTTACCTTCTTTGCAGTCGTGACCATTTTCATGTAGAACAAACCCATCTCGACACTGACACTGGTAGCTCCCAAATGTGTTGGTACAGTTCTGCTGACAGCCACCATTGTCCTTGGAGCATTCGTCCTTATCTGCAGAGCAGGAGAATCATTAATAACAATTCTGGCATGACCCTTTTACCTGCGCTTTCCACCTGCTTACACAGTACAAACACCATTTCATTTCACATTGTTCATATCCATCCGAAAGTGACCTGGATATCTCACTGCACTGAGGAGGAAATAATTCTGAGACATAGGGTTATGTACGGTGGGCAAGGAAAAGGTGTTTACAGAAAAAGCATAATGTCACAATGTCTGTAATCAATAGGCTATGTTCAAATTCGATGCTATTTTTACTGTGCAATTAAAATTAATACTAACATTTGTATGCTGAATGAAAATGAAATCCATACTGTAAATGGGACCAATGGCACACTGAACAAAGTAATGAAGGGCACTTTGAATGTATAGTCCAGTCACAGCTGAGGATAGGAACAAGGAATCTGTACTGCAGAGTTCCCTGTCATTAAAAAACAAGAAGGTCACAACAGGCTAAATAATGTACATCCTTGATGGATTCAAGTAGACATTAATTGGGATGCAGAAAAGCAGGTTTTTCAGGACAGATTAAGTATAACCTTAAGAGATGCTTGCATAAAAACAGTCCACAGAATGATAGCAGAGTGTCAGCGTATAGCAAGATCTTTATTCACCACAGCAAGGCCTAGAGGTTTGTAATAAAACAAAATGCAAAAACTACACTATTGATACAAGCCAAAAAAGCAGCTCATTCCTTTAGATAGAAGCACTGCACCCGTTCCCAGCTTCTGAGCTCGCCTGAGCTTCTCTGGTTCTACAGAACTGTTCATAAAGTGTGTTTCATAATAAAGCAAAACCCTTGGGCTCCCGCCTCCTTTCCCCAAGCAGCACAGCAGCCACTGCCAGCCACACCCAGAGTGCAGCCACTGACATCTACTCTCGCCCACCTGATTCACTTTGGTTTTGTGATGTGGATTCCCCTCCTGTCACAGCTCACATTGAAAGGAAGCCCTCCGTAGAAGCCCTCCTTTGCACAGCCCAACATTTGTGAGGTCAAATGCAGTATGTCCACATGGTACTGCTTCATTTCAGGATGCAGTGCTTACAGTTACAAACGACCTTGATTTTTCATTTCAAACGTTCCTTTATTCAATAACGTCAACTGTCATATAGATGACTGCTGTGATCCCAAAGAGTGGGAACATGTGGATATGACCTTATGGAACATGATCAGTCCCTCAAATCTGTGAAGGGTATATGGGGTTCTATTTACCACGTTTTTGCAGGGGTTCCTAAAAGATTAATGATTCCACATTTATCTTTAACAATCATGATGTGTTAAAAGCTTATTCTAATTGATATGCATGATAATGACATGAGTTACAAGCAGTTACTGGCAACTCTCTTTAGAAAGAGCAGCAATCCTGCAGGTCTTACAGTTTTTCAGTCAGCAACCAAATAATATCCAAGAAACAAAAGACATGACTTCCTTCAAAATATTATTCAATTGCATAATTAAGGTCAAAGGTACAATAAATTTTTACTTCTGAAGTTGTAGTAAACTAAAGAGACGAGGGTAGCTAAAATAGACTTTTAATAAAACCACATAGAAAGCACTTTTTAACTGCTGCTACATTATACAAAAGGACAGGTAAATGACTTTTCTTCTAAGAGCAATCGTAAGTCTAGATATTACTTAAAGTAAACGTATCCAATTTGCAATAATAAAAAAACATATTTAGGCGATGCTACTACCTTTGAAAAATGATGTGAAGGAAATTATTTTAAATATGCTTAATCATAACAAATTCCATTTTGTTTAATCTCAAATCAACCATTCATTCATTTATTTTTTACGAAGGTTCATGAAGGTTAAAACCATCTCTGACAAAGATAGTTTAATAAAAGTCTCACTTATTTTAAAAATGAAAATCCTGGAAGCCAAGATACTCAAAAAAACATGCAAGAGGACAGAATGATGTGCTAAATGTTCTGCGTTGAGGAACTGGTCCAAGAGGAAGGGTGTTAATGGAGTGCCTGGTGACACCATCTCAGTCAAAATGCTCACATTCAATGTCACAGATCTGAAGTCTGGGTTTTATGCAGGACATTTTATTGGGTGGGAGTTAAAACAGGGAAGAGCAAACAACATCAGTCACAGACACATAGAATTCCTCTCATTTTTACTGCTCTGGAAAAGTAATCTGTCTGAAAAATGTTAGAGGGATAACCTCAAGAAACCTGTCCATCATCACGATCTGTAAATCTCACATACACACTTTCAAAAGATTGTAGCTTGAAACACCTGCACAATCTGAGATGTTACTAAATCTCTTGGAGGAAAGTGGCCAACATACTGAAATAATCACACCTCATCAGTTTAATTTTGCACTGGAGTCCCTGGAAACAATCACAGAATTTGTCAATCCTAATTAGTCCTCTTGGATAAATCAGCACAGATTTTGAAGTAACGTGAAAGGCAGAAGTTGTAGGGAAAATGCCAAAGTTATTCAATCCACATTTACATACCAGAGAAAAAATGGGCCTTGAACCCTTTTTTGGAGACAGTATTATCTGACTTGAACTCCACTCTCATGTTGTTAAACTGAGATGTTATGACTTCAGGCTTTTCCAAACCACAGAATTTTCCATGCAGCCTGGAATCGGAGGAAAGTCCACTGCGCACTTCTACGTAATCATATTTACAAACCTAGAAAACAAGAAATGAAAGATGGTCAGACATGCTTTTCTTATAGAGACACAATAGAGTTTACATCAGAATGTGAATGTGTTGACATTTTTTGGGGCCATTCCCAATGAAAACCATGGCTGTTGTGGGCATCTTGTGAACAATTCTTTGTTTTAAATATGTAGGGTGCGACTGTAGGTAAGGGAAAGGTAAAATACCAATCACATTTGGCAAGAACATCGGAGGAGAAGCCATAAACAAATACTCACGTCATTGCCCTCCAGTTCGAAAACCTCAAACTGTAGAGAGATCCTGTACTGGGAAGGAGCCACCACTTGCCACACACAGTTCTTATTGGTGGGGTATTCCTTCGGCCAGCCAGGACTGGTGATGGTGCCATTCAACTTGGTAAGAAAGCCACCACATGCAGCTGGAAACACAAGAAAAATTTCACCTACGGAACTGTAGTCATTTGTGCCTATATTTGTACTTGAATTTAGCAAAAAGGCAAACTGTTCCTCTACAATACCACAAAACATGAAAATAATCTTGGTGTTTTTTGACAAGATTTTTTGATTTGAGTTTTTTCTCTCCGTGAGATTCCACTACAAAACCACAGAAAACTGTGATAAATTATTTATGCATAGGTACATACAGATGTTGAACACTTCTGGGAAGAATAAACTACATGGAGCATATTGTAGAAGTAGCTTTGTAAATATAACCTTCATGGACTTCAAATGTTGACTGTGTTTGATTGTGTTGATTGTGTTATGACATTTAAATAAAATGGTATGCAATGCAAATCCTAACATCATTTTAACATAAATATATCACTTAAAGCCTTGAAATAAACACATTGATTAGAAAGAATTCTAAAAATAATGTTCTGTACTACATTTCACAGTGGGCCACCTGTGTATATTTATTTTTACTGCACAATGTAATTTTAGGGGAGGTTTGGCTAAGCTATCTTTTTCATCTAGGAAGTTGGAAACTAGCACTAGATCTAGTTGAACAAGATCATTCACTGTCCTTCTTGAGTTCAGAGTATTTTATACAAAATTCAAGCCATGTTAAGAAATGCAGAATTGAAGAGACTCACAAACCCCACAGTTTTTCTTATGTTAGGAATTAAAACATAAATCACCATAATTTATTCGCCGACACATGGAGGATAAACTTAATTTGGTAAAAGTGGCTGAACTCATATTACTAATAATATAATTAGAATATATTATATATAATTATAATGTAATATTATTACTAATAATATCATTAGAAATCCTACTCTGTTGGGCCCCTGAGCAAGGCCCTTAACCCCAACTGTTCCAGGGGTGCCGTATAAATGGCTGACCCTGTGCTCTGACCCCAAGCTTCTCTCTCCCCATATGTGTGCCTGTTTGTCTCATGGAGAGCAAGCTGGGGTATGCGGAAAGACAAATTACTCATGCAAGAAATTGTATATAGCTAATAAAGTGATCTTATCTTATCTTTGTTTCCCCCATTATACTGCTGGGGTATGCTTGCATACTTGCAAGCATGCTTTTATTTAGCAAACAATCCACAGACATAAATAATAAACAAAACAATAAAAAGAAAAAGAGCATCATACCCTCACAACTCCTCTTGTCTGGTGCCAATTCGTACCCGGGGTCACAAGCACACTTGTAGCTACCGAGTGTGTTCACACAGCGCTGCTCACAGCCCCCGTTATCAGGCCTGGAGCATTCGTCAACCTCTGCAACACAGAAACCATCACCTGACTCGCACCTGGTGAAGAGTTCATTCTACGCTTGCACAAGATACTGCTTTGTAACACGGAAAAGTATTCACAGTCCTGCCAACTTCAACAGCTGTGAACTGTGGCAGATCACAGGGCTCTTAAAAGTGAGAATATTTATACAAAAACATTAAGATAGTACCTTTGAAAAAGTTGGCAGCAAATCCTGCTTTGTTGATGGAGCTGTCTGAAACAAACTTTATCCACAGCCTGTTAGACGTGGATTTTATATCGTCTGGTTTTTCATGGCCACAGTAGTGCCCAATCAAAGGACTGTCTTCAGAAGCTCCATCGCGGACTTCCAGGTAGTCGTAAGCACAGCTGTCATGCCTTTCAATCTAAAAAATAAGATGAACACCACAATGCTCTCAGGACACAGGTAAAGTAACAAGCAAAGTGTTCAATTATTTCCAATTAACATACACAACAAAAACAAATGTATACATAAAATTTAATACATTTTCAGTCATAACATTCTCTGTAATCATTGCTACAGAATACAGTTTGTAGGAAGAATTCACATTTTCTATCTAGAATCAGAAGACCGGGATTCTACTTCACTTTTTCTCCAAAGCCCACTTTTCCCAATATCTGTAAGGTCAAAGCAAGTTGTGGTAAAAATAAAAAAATATCTCTAGTGACCTGCAATTGTCTGCTCTTAATTTGAAAAACAAATTAAAATAATTTGAGTGAACATACTTTACATTTTTGTGAACATACATTTTTAATTTTTAATGAAGTACAGATTAGCCTGGAATACAAGTAAGACACTGCTCACAAATAATTATTCTACTGTGTTATGGAACAGAGAGCAATACTAAAGCAAGAAAGACGTCTTACTCTATTGTATATTTAGTATTACTTCATGTCTACAGTACACTACAAGCATTCATAGAAAGTGAGATATCATATCAATGTGTTAGTGTTTTACAGAAAAGATTTAACAAGTACTACAATAGATATTTGCAAAATTTCAGTCAACAAGAAAAAAATAATATAAAGAATACACAGAAAACTATACATTCCACTTAACAAAAACCAATACTGTCTAAAAATAAGGATATGAAATCTTGTAAGTCCTTAAAGATAATCTTACAAGTCTGGCAGCATGATGGATGTATGCAGGTCCATGAAGAGCAATACCTCAAAGGCTTGAAAGGCAAGCCCCACGTGATAGCCCTCGGTCACTGTGACTTTCCAGACGCACTCTTTTGAGGGGCGGTAGTCGTCTGGGTAGTTCGGCGACTGAATTTGTCCCGCATCCTTGTTAATTTCCCCTCCGCAGATAGCTGAGAAAAAAAAACGCAAAAATGGCTCTGATAGGTATTTGCTTACCAGAAGCTCGCCTGAATAAGTCACCTTAAAGAGTACCTATAAATAAGATGACATGAATCTATGTACAAACACAGCTTTCACGGGAAGTTACTTCTCATGACTTTGTAACATATTCATGCTTTAAACATGCACAAGCTAAAATGGTAAGGATATACAGTAATGAAAATAATGAGCCAATAATACGAGCTGAATGACTTCATTTCTCCATGCAATAAAAAGATCGGAAATGTGTGTTGTGAATTGATAATGAGGTGCGTAGGGTCTTTATTATTAAGCACAATTAGCTTTAAATTTCTATTTTAAGGTAATGAGTATGAGTGTATCACAGTGAATTAAAAAAATAATTTTAAAAAACGAACATTATTAACATTAATACCAAAAAAAGAACTAATCAGATTTAAAATGGTCAATTATGAAGTATCACATTAGGATAAAAAAAACAAAAAGAGAGCAACAAAGAAATATTAGCAGATACAAGTAAACTATACTTGGAGCCAGACCGTTAAATTAGGCCAATACTCCATAAAGAATCAGATGTTGTTGGATTAATGGAGTGAAATGTATTGGATCAAGAACCTAATGCTCATTCCTATAATTTATTAAGTTATTACACCTTGAAATATACCATTATTAATTAGAATCTTTAAGTATATGAAATCTGGTGTGGCATTGTGTTTTTTTAGATTGCTCCATCACAAAGTTTGACACACTGTGAAAATGAACTAGCGTATTTTATGATGTGGCAGGATGTCAAAACAGACAACAGTGATTCTGCACAAAAAACATTCTACAACTCCCCAACTGTCTCTAAAACAATTCTGATAACTTCTACTCCCTCCAAGAACACCTCTTCTTTCCCTCATCTATTCCTACTACCCCCAAAACAGGATGCAGACATATTTAAACACAACGTTCCTCCCACTTGTTGTGCTACAAACAATCAAAGTTTTGCTCATTTGACCCTGATGGAAATAGAGGTGTATAATGTTGGCAACACAAGAATCACATATTCCTGATCAGAATTTTACCATAGTGACAAGACATAACATTAGGTGGGGATTTGTCTGGGTAAGAATATGTATACAGTATGTTAATATTGCTTATGTCTGTTATGAATTATATGTTTTCCTCCTACATCCACATGTGCAATTCCATCATGTGTGAGTGGAATCAGATTCATACAGGATGTTATTATTTTTGTGCATGGTCTCCTAGGCTTTGGTGTCACAATTGGAAAAGAAACATTACCAGGAACACCACAAAAAAAAAAAACCAATACAGACCCAGAAAATTCCACAATTGTTAGATATTCATAAAATAGTCAATTGTCTTTGTAGCACATTTTTCTGATGAGCTGCCCTCTAGAGTTCAACTTTGTCACTGATACAGACTCCCATACTGATAAGTGATTACCATGATCTCAATTCAGTCTACCACTGTTGGAATTAATTTTGTTGATTAATATTTAAAAAGAAAGTTTGATGATATAAGCATTTGGAACTGTGGCTGAGCACAGCCGTACTGCTCATAAGCCTACCTTCATATACAGCAAAGAATCCTTTACCAAGGATGTTGCTGCCACTGCGAAACTCAATCCAGAGCTTGCTGTCAGTAGAAATGATTGGTTCAGGAACTTTGTCTCCACAGAACCTGCCTAGAAAGAGAGGAACACTGTAAATCATCTCTAAAGCATATGCAATTGACCTCTGTGTTGCTGTTTGCCCTATACTGAAAGTACAAAGTAATTTATAAAACACAGGCCTATTTTACATGAAAGTATAAATGATATTGAAACAGTTGTGAACTTACCAATTTGGTATTTTTCATCAAGACTGGGAAACATTCCATGTAGATAACATGAGAGTATTACATGCAAGTAACAGAATAACTTGACATACATAAAAGGGAAACAGAGCATGAGGGAACTATCCATGAAAAAGGTTATGTTTACACATCACTTACACCTGTTAGGCAGTGTGCAATAAAAACACATTGGGAATTATAATTAAAAAGCATAAATGTGAAAGTAAGACACATTAAGTTAAAATTGAACAATGTACTAGTAAGACTTCATTTAGAATATTGTGAAAAAGTTTCGTCACCTAGTTGAAATAAAGATATTGCTGCAGGAAAGATACATGGCTGTGCTTAAAGAAATGTCTTACACTGACAGATAAAAGAAACTGTTTTTAGGCTTGAACAGAGAAGAGAATGACTACGAGGGGACCTAATTAAGGTTATCAAAACCATTGGTTGACAAAGTTCAGAACCAGAAAGCTCAGAAAGGACTTCAGAATCAACATTGAAATGCGAACCAGAGGACATAAATTGAAATGATGTTGAAGTGCACTTAAAACTAAGAGTCAATGGCACCTCTATATACAGTACAAACAGTGGTAGTGGTCTGAAACAAGCTTGTTTGAAGAAAGGTGTGGATGATATACTTGGATCAATTTGTCAATACCTGATGTTCAAGATACTCTGGATGACAAATTACTTACTTGTAACCAAAATACATAGGACAAACCCCTCCTGATTGTCAAACCTCTTATTTTTTAAGAGAAAAGTAATGTACAGTATGTCTTCACTTAATGTCTATATTGCAATGACAATCACAGAATTGAATTGTGCTTTATAGCAAAGAAACGCACCATATACCAAGTAATAAGATATCTTGTTAGTCCATAATGTGAGGGTAACTATTATGGAATAAATCATAAATCCAAAAAGGAATATCGGCTCATCTTTTGTAAGAAATCAGTTTCTAAGAATCAATTTTAAGGTTTTACAAAGACTGCAATAGACGGTGCAGGTCAGGTTGAAGGTAGTTTTGTAATTGTGCAACAGTATCAAGATAAATAGAAAATACTTCTCTCTCTTTATAATTTACTTAAAATAGAGTAGGCAATATTACAAAATGATTAACACATTTAAGACACATGGTGTGAATCCTTATTCCTTCCGAACTGAATTTGGACTGTACTATACCAGATGGTCTATCAGTTCCACCTCTGTTTTTACAAGACTGAATCAGTACTCAAAAAAGGCTCCTCGTACAGTATATTGGGGTATGGCAATTACCGCTCTTGTACATAACTATTATGCCTGGTTAATCTAAAAAAGCCATCTGAAAATACTGGAGCACAACCACTTCTGTCACCTCCAGAAAACCCATGGTACAATGTGGGAGGATTATCGCTCAAATGCCAATGTACTCAATGATGTCAACACTGGCAGTACTGAAGTGTTCATTATGCAACATCGGATGTGGTAAAAGGGCATCGTATGTTCAGGTCTGGTGCACATCAACCAAAACACCTGCAGGACTTCCATCTCTGCCAAGGACAAGAGCACTAGCCAGCGTCAGAGGAAACACTTGCTCTCAACCACCAACCAACAGACTCATCTACAACTCCCTGCTCAACCCATAGGTGAGAGAGAGACTTATTTCAGTATTACAGAAATCAGAGAAAAAAAGAAGCATATTATGTAACGTATTTTTTTTAAATTGTCACTACCACTTATAAAGGTAAGTGAAATGATTAGTAAATGCATGGATATTGAAGGTGGCAATCTGTGTCTTTTTGTCAATATTATGGAAATATCAAAAGTTCAGCCCTTCAGAAATATTACTCTTGAAGCTGAACAGTGTGAATGGGACAAATTGATTTATCTGTAACATCCTCAGTCTCAGGAAGCACAGCATGTCCAGACATTTTGGAAAACAAACCATGGCTCAGAGCAATTTATAACCCCTGTATTCACTAATGTCAGCTGAATGAGTTTTTGTGCTCCCTGGAGGTAGGTGTAGTCCATTGTCAGGTCAGGGAAAGTTTCTTAACAGAATGTTGTAATTCTGAGAAAGTAGAGCCAATGTAACCCCACAGAAGCTTTGCCAACAATCAAATTCTTTTATCTTCATTTTTGTGACAGCAGTATATGTAGCTGTTCCAGTAATCCTTCACCTGCTTGTCTCTGGCTATTACATAAAACCCTTTGAGACTGCTAATGATTGAAAATGAATGAAAATTACACATCTATTTTTTTTATACTGTCCTTTTCTACTGATAAGTATGTTTTTTTAAGTGTATGATCTAACTCAAAACTTAATGGGAAGCTAAATCCAATGGCATACACAACCTCTATCTGTTTTTTTTAACCTACATGTTCCCTGCTTAATACAGTAACACTTAGATAAAAAGTTTCGAAAAATGTCTTCCATCTCAATTTTGGAAACACATTTTTAAGATGTAAAGCAAACAAAAGGGGTCAGCTCCAGTATTAATGATTTTGGAACTCAGAAGTGCCTTCAACTTACACTTGAAACACTGAAATGCTACTCCTGCTTTAAAAAAATAACGATCTGTTTCTTTACTTTATTGCCAGAGGTCTCAAATTGCTCCATTTACTGAGAAATACGTAAAAGTAAGGAAATGCTCAAATTTCAGATTTCAGTTAACATAGCAAACCACACCTAGGTCTGCATGTACTTTTTATTAGATTAATAATTGTATGTTTTCAACAAAAGTTAGAAATGCTTTATGTTGTGCAATATTTGGCTTAGAGCTTTCTCAGACATAAGAATACTGTATGTCTCAACAAAAACCTTGAAATTTAAATGAATCAAGGACAGATGTCAGCTACAGTATCCACACGGTAGGTCCTGTCCTTTCTTATCTGTGTGACGAAGCTGCTGACAGGCACTCTTACCCAAAGAAGGAGCCTTTCTCCAGTAGCCATCACGCACTTCCACGTAATCGTACCAGCACAGACGGCTCTTGAACAGATCTATGGTTGTGAAATTGAGAATAATCTGAAAAACAAGGTGGGAATATCAATCTCCAAGATATTTAGGCACACACTAAGACATCATTAATAATATTCACATAGTACTGTATTCATTTTAATGATCGTAAGGAAATTATTAGGAGTTTTAGGCCTTTACTACCTCTGTTAGAAAATATAATTTATAAAAAGTTTATAAACTCAGACCTTACCTTTTCCCCAGGAGTCACTGACACCCTCCAAACACAATGGGAATATGAGGGGTAGCCATTTGGAAATCCTGGTGCTGAGAAATTGCCTGATGAATCTTGCAGAGTTTCTCCACAAGCTGAGAATCAAGCAAGGATTTATTACAGATTTGCTTATAGAACAGTTTTTTCACTTTAACAGGCTCTTTCATCTCACCACCACTCCACGGTGTGGAACATCTTGTTCAGACAAACTTCACTATACCAGAATCAATGTATTCACTAGCAAGAATTGTAAGAAGAATCTAAATGCGAGCTGATACTTCCTAATCACAAAGTTTGATCCTGGTTTGCATGTACTGTATTTTTGATTTTGCGAGGTATAATGCTGATGATTGAGAAAAAAAGCAAAAGTTTATTCATCTCAGATTCCAATATGAAGCACATTCAAAATGTTGTCAGATGATGGGAGGAAAGGATGATTACACTAGATACTTTCTCCGATTCTCCTAAAGTCAGGTTGCACAAAGCTAAATACAACAGAATTTTAACATTAATTTCAAACATCTAGCAGAATCAGAGATTTTCAGTGTTTAAAGCGTTTTATTCTGGGAGGTCAGGTCGCAGCTGATCTGATGTTATGTTAGTTATCAGGAAGTAACCAGTTATGTTTAAAAAATCATCAGGCATTACTATACATTTACAAATACTGTATATATTCTAGAAATAGCACTTACGTGACTGAGAGTAAGCTCAATCTGAATGCAATTAGAGGCCTTAAGTCCCTCAAAGAAATTCTGGCCTAGTGAGAACACAGAAGGCTGTACAAGTGTAGGGGAACATTTAATAAACAATTGTAATTCCATTTCTGACAGGTTTTTCTGCTTTCAAATGAAACAGATTACTTGAAACAGATTACTATATTTATGATATATTATTTTATATATTTCTTCCAAATAAATTCTTGTGATTTTAAACTTAAACGTTTTTGAAAGGGAAGCTGTGGACTTGAACTGCTTCTGTCACACAGTGTGACAAATGACCAAAACCTTTCAAAATATTAATAACTGGGAGAAGATTTCATTATCCACCCAAGATTTCCCTGTGCAACCTTGGTCTTGTAGAAAAATAAGTCCAATACAATTACAGCTCACTTGTTCAATAATGCTAAAAAATGTACACAGGAAAAAGGAAATGAAAAGCTTCTGCATTGCTCTTTACTTATTTTGCTTTTATGTTTCAGCAGTCCATTCCTAATAAGAAATAAAAGGCTACCAAATAAACATTTTCGCTTCTCCATACTACAGTAAAATGTATGAAAATGTATTTATAGATAAATGTATATTTTATAAGTAGATAGCTAAAAACGAACTTCCACTAAAGTGAGCATATCCTAAGACAATGCAAGTAAATGAATTATATCTACCAGCAAACTATTTTTATGTATTTGAGTAAATTCATGACGTCAGCTGAAAAACAGATGTCCAAAATATAATAAAAATAACACAAAAATCTCAGGCTGCATGACTTTTGGAAGAGTAGACAGTTTCCATTGTAGAATCTCGCCTTTAAAAAAAGTCTTTATGGATCTTTAACCTAAAAATAATAAAGAAACTACATGTGACCCAAGGAAACATGATCAAATGTATGCCCTGAATAACAAGAAGACACAGAAAAGAAGCAAGAGTTTGACATCATACAAGAGTGTGTGACACATTTTAAAGAGTCACACATATGGCAAAATAGAATGAGTCACTCACAAACAAATAGTGCAGTGGATCATAAGGCTAAAGGCCAAACACAAACAGACTTTCTGTCAGGTGGAGAGATGAACTCGTTTGCAAGCACAAGTTGGATGAAGGCTTACACACACCGCTGGTCAACGAGCAGCAAATAATTAAAACTAAGGTTGAAGATGAAGGTGATGACGTACTGTACATGTATAAATCAATTTACTGTCAGTGCGCTGAACTGGAAATCAAATTTCTAAGCTGCCCCATTAGAAGTCTATGGAACAGAGTTTGTGAAAAGGTACTTAATAATGTTGCTTAGCATTGGTAGCTTTCTATTATTATTATTATTATTATTATTATTATTATTATTATTATTATTAATGCACACAACAATGTGTTAGGTACATTGTATTAGTTGGTGTGTGATTTGAAAAAATTCAAGACAAAAAAGCTGCACTTTTCAACTTATGATCAACTGTTTTACACAAGATGATAATTTATTCATAGAGCATCTCTTTTAAAACAAAATCTTGATCAAAACCAGATTAAAGACCCACAGGTAAATAACTTATATTAATAGTCCTAACTAAGCTGTATCAATGCCAAAGTTGTAAAAATAGTACAAAATACTACTGTTCTGTATGCACACAACAAGCATATACCGTTACTTCAGAATGTGTCTCAGAGTTTTGCACAGCAGCCTATCTGAATCGAGGGATTACTACGAAGAATAAAGCACAATATTGTTCTCTCTTCCAACCTCTTTGTACATGATGTTTATAAATTATGTTCATATAAAGTCTTCCTATAATGTACATATAAACTTGAACTTGGAACTATATTTAACTTTTTAAAATGATCTAGCTTCTATAATAACAGCTCAATTTATAATGCAAGGAGTGTTTTATAAAAAAGAGATCCCAAATTGTTTTACATATAGAAAGTGACCCATTTCATCCACTGAAGTGCAGCAATCATATACTGTAGTGTGACAGCCATTCTGCACCTCCCAGGGTATATCACTACACAAAGGATCAAGTAGAGAAATTGGAAATTTGGCTGGGCTGAGAAATTAAACTTTGTACCCAGTAGAATCTATGCACTCTGCTTCCTTTCAAGTACAGTTCTGCATTTAAAAAGGAAAAGCTGGAATTTCAGGTATGTCATCCATGTATTGAATTAGAAATACATAGTGTATGTAGTTTTATGGTTTCATAAAACATTATAAAACCCTGAAGGTACACAAACCTATATTTGAAAGATTGTCTCCATGGTGACACTTTGAAACCTTCTCAGAATCTGCCTCCACAACAGCTCTTTCAAAAGGTTTACTAAATCAAACATCTGGCTTCTTTTGTCATGCAAATCCCAGTGTTCTTCCCCAGAATTCAGGGCACTTGCTTGGAGCAGATTCTTTAAAAAGCTACTGGTTTCCTTTTTGAATGGTCAGCTTGGGTTTTCGGAAGTCAACTGAGTGCTGGGTAGCTCAAAAACTGCCTGGCATAGCTGGTGACATCATGCCCAGTGTCATGGGGAGGGGAGGAATGGCTTTAAAACAGTGCTCTGTGGAAAAGCAGTTTAGAGTTTTACACTTTTAAAAAACTGCCTTACACCCTCTTCTGCATGATTGTTTTTGCTTTGGACTCCTTACCAGCTACGTTATGCATTTTTATAAAGCAAACCTATGCATCATACAACAGGCATTTTGGAGAAATACTAATTTTACATATGTTTAATTACATGACACCGGCTTTGGATCACTTAGCTTGTTCCTTAGTAAATGATTATTTCAATAATGTGGAGATGGGTTTGAAAATGAGAAATGGCACAGCACCCAGAGCATCTGATCGCAAGCTAGGAAAGTCAGTAAAAGTAAGACGTAAAAGCAAACAGTATATTTAATACTCTTGATAACATAAAAAGCTCACATCACAAAAGATGTCAAGCAAGAAATAAAAATCTATCAACATATTTGATTTTACTTGGATACACCTGCTGTATTTTTTACACTTTTTCTTAACATACAGATAATGTGCTGCTTCTAGGAAAGAGTTTTATGTGAAGGCTCTGTTTGGATATGTAATCTCAAACAATAAATCTTGGGAGGTCTAAAGAAATACTAATCCTGAATCATTTGACAGTGCAATGATTCACATTCTGGTGGCACATCACCAGCTGTGAGAGAGACGCATTAGAGTTCAAGTCAGGGTGAAGAGTTCAAATGCATGGTAACACAAACAGCATCCCCCTATCAATGTGGCCTAACACTAGATAGAGGACATTCAACAGGCCTCTTCTGAACCAAAAATAATGGTCTGTGATAAACCAGGCTCCACTGTGTCTAACCAGAGAACTGTGGGAAAAAAATACACCAAAATGTCCAATTGGTAAAGTTAAGTAAAGCTTCTTCTACCAGGTATTACATTTTAATACCAATATAACATATTAAGAATTACAAACAATATGATCTGTCTTAAAAGCTCCGTAGATTTTAAGCTGGCGTAGTTTTAATTGTGGTCCTTTGCCAACAAAAATGCTTGTTTGTAGAAGACCATAACCTTGTGAAATGAGCAAAACCTGAACATATTGCACAGCATAATTCTTTGTGTATCATTATTTAATCTTACTTACAAATCAATACTTTTAAATTAATTTGAAAAACTAAATGCATGCTTGTCTACTTCTGACAAACAAGATAAGTAACTGGATCCCAGTGTATTGAATCATCCAACAGAGCACCTGCACACTGCTTTTAGGCTTCTGCTTCCAAACCAGGTCCATATATGTAAATGGATATAACATTTCTTTTATCAATCACAGCATTGCATTACATCGTACTGAAAAACACTTCTGCTTTCTCCATGTTAAAATATACTTTTCTTTTATACAAAAAGCGATAGTTGTGCCGCACCTTTGCACAAAGAGGATCCAAATAAGAAAATCACAGGACTTACAAAAAATAAAAACCCGTTGCATCAATGACATTAAACAAGATTCCAAAGAAATTAAAGCATATTTGGATTTTTAACAACCAAACAATGTATCAAAATAAGGAAGTTACTATGTAATGAGGAATACCTTTTCGTGGTATTTGAAGAACTGCATGATTTAATTATTGACATTGCCAGTCCTAAACATTTGAACAATTAATGTTATTGTTGAGTTTTTCATTATTTTCATAAGAAAGCAGAGCAAATCAAGCAGACTCACTGATGTAATGGAAGGATAAGGCAAAATGAAGCTCTTAAGGCCATTTTTGTAGACACACAACACACACAACCTTGAAAATGCCATCGCAGTGCTGCTTAAAAAGGTGATGACTGATTAATGAAAGCAGGAAGACATACCGACTTCCATACCAAGGAGGTTCTCGGCACAACTCTGATCTACAATAACTACCTACAATACCTACAATAACCTACAATAACTAGTCAAAATGTCAGGAATCCTCCTCCTCATCAAGTAGAATAGATTTTCCTAACCTTCTCTGAAGGCACAATAAACATGTTGAATCAGACAATTTTGTCAGGAATTCAGAGAACAAAGAAAACTGGGACCGAACAGTTTCAGGATAGGAGAGTGACTTCAAGACAGTTATTATTGTTGGGACTTGACCAGGATTGGTATCAGTAGCAAAGACCATGGAAGGAAAGGAGCACCTGGTCTCTTAGGTGTGTACAGCATTTCTTCAAGTTAAGAAAACATCTGCAAAATACCAATGAATGTTGACTGGAACAAACTACAGAAAGACAGAGACTAACAAATGTTGTGCATGCGCACTTTAACGATCTGTTGATACTGTAGCGTCGGTGTGATCCTAACCAATGAACCAATGCAAATGAAATATCATCTACAGGAACAGTGTTGAACAGGGGTTCATAATCATTTATCCAGCGGGTATACAAAATAAGCATTCCTGTAGCATCCTGCTTACCTGGGCACTTGTAGAGTTTGCGTGCCTGTGCAATGTCGCCCTTGCTGAGGCGAACCCTCTGCCCAATAGGAGGTCTCACACCATTATCATCTCTGCGTGGGAGGATGGTATCCAGGAACACACCCCTATAAAACAGACAGCCGCAGTAACCAATCAACATGGCAATACAAACATAGATCCTGGCTAATCCTGGAGCAACACAGAAGAATCATCAAAAAGACACTTTTTTAGCCTCAGTAAAATGACAGAGGAATTTGAAACACAGGCCATCAGGGCATGAGCACCTTCAGATGGCAAAGGAACTGCAACTGATGTTGTACCAGCTGCTGTTGTTGCAAAACACATAAATACCTTGATAAGTAAAGTTTTATCATTGATAACTGCAATGCAGAAACAATTACAAGCAGGGGTTTTTAGCAAGAGCTACTGTAAAATTAATATTTTAATTCTAAACAGGTCAGTCAATGTGTAATGGAGACCTGAATAAAGATGATACCACCGGTGGCATTCATTTCTATATGAATCAACAGCAGGTCAGCGTAAACCATGAAACTCTAAAAATGGAAAACAAAGTACAATGGCGCAGTTGTTGCTGGTTCACACCTGGGTAATGTCACTAGCTGACAGCGGACTGGCAGTGGACAACTGGCAGGGCACTGCTGGGTTAGAATGGGTGTTAGTGGGCCAGGTGTTTGGACTTTCAGAGAAACAGACTTGTCAAGCACCCGCAAGCTTGCAGTGACATGAGTGAGCTGTCAGATGCTGTACACTGCTTGGCACTAAACATCCTGTACACCGATGTGAAGCTTGAATCATATGAATGGCTGTGTCCCCATGCAATAAAAAAGCTGCAGCTATAAACTGAGACAGTTGTAAAATGTGTACTTTAGGTATAGAATTAAAAAAGGAATTGGCGATTCTAAAATTAAAAAAAAGAAACAGGGGAAATAAGAAAAATATGGCTAGGAAAAAACCCTTACAAGCCATGTGCTCACATTTCAACTTCAAAACCAGGGTTGGCAAAAGCATGCATTGGGCACTCTCTATCAATTTTACAGTGTTATAAAACACTTTATGAAGCAGTGCCAATGGTTATGTCACTCTTAAAACTGCCAAATGTAAAATGTTTGAAGTTTCAAGTGCCTAAAAATGAAAGTATGACTGCATCATTGTACTGAAAAAAGAACATCAGACATCTTTCCCTCATTTTGTCAAATTTAGTATTTAAAATCATAATAACGGAGATGTAAGGATCGAAAACAGTTTACTGTATGTTTAACTTTGTATGGACGTTCTGTTGGATGGCAAGGAGCAATAATTGTCTGGTCAGGCAGAGTTTTAAGGGTGAGGTGAATGCAAAACAGTTGTCACTGAGGAACAAGCAAAGAGAAGTATACGTTGCAGAGAGATGATAAGATCAGAAGAATACAGCCAAAGAGACCAAATGTGTTGTTAGACTGTGTGCTTTATTTTTATTGGAGTGGTAAAATTGCAAATAGGCTAAGAACTGGTTTCCATTTCCAGTAATTTCCTGTTTTGGGCTTTCCTTAGTTCTGAATATCCTAAAGTGTGTTGTGTGTGATTTTCAGCTCCATTCATTTTGGATTTGTAATGAACATGACCTTAGGCAGAAATGTCCCAATTAAGATGCAGATTCCCAAAACCAATTTTTGTAAAGATATGTGAGGAAATAGCATTACAGAGTGTATCAGTGTTTTGCTCCAGAAATGGTCAAATCTGCAATGCTTTACTAATGGGCAGGACAGTATGATGCAGCACATACTTGTTTCTCCAGTACATCTACTGAAATTAATTATTTTGGGTAGATGAAAAATGTTTGGTGGAGCTACTAAAGTCTGCTATTAACTTCAATTTACCCACTCTGCTTTTAAAAATATTTCTGAGGATCTCAGGCTTTTTAAGTTTAAATACATATTTACTGGAATATTTAATGCGCAATTTCTTTATATATATTCTCCTGTCTAAGAATATCAGTTTAGTACCCCATATATCTCTTAGGCAGAGCTCTGTTTTAATGAGTTATGTGGAAAAAACATGACTCAATATCCTTTCAGGTTTGAAAAAAAAAACAGTGAAATTTTCAATACCTACTGGAAAGAGAAAATAGAAGCATATGTATCCTTCTCTATAAACCTCATGCAAGTGCATCCTATCTACATGTATATGAAGCTAAACTATTACAAGGTTATTCTTATGCTGTTTATCAGTATAAATACTTGAAATGTTTTTCAGCAATTTTTAAAATCTGTTTCAGTGTAATAATACAACCAATTACAGGAGAAATACAGGAGGGAATGGCTACTATTTAAAGACATTGTAAAGAAACAAAGAGACATAACCTTAGACTCCAACCTTGAGAAGGTGTTCCGGGCATAGTGCATTATACTGTCATAGTCATAGGTCTCTCCCAGAGAATTCACTTCGCCAGGTTCCATCTTCAGGAAATTGTACTCCTGTCCTGTGACGTGATTCTTAGTTAATGGAGAGCTTCAAAGGTTAGAAGTATACATTCATTTGCTGGTCAGTTTTATTTCTTGTGCTACAAATGCGCATGGCACAAGATTGTACATAATATAATCTTAGCTCTGATGGATGCACCAAAACACAAGGTAAATTTAAAAACCTTTAAAATTATAGCTAGGCACTTTACATTGAGAATAGCATTGGTTCTGTCCTAGAATACAGTACTTGTGATTAATCAGTAAAATCATAGAATGCAAACAGACTACGAAACATTGTGTTCCAGTGGAAAAACTAAACACAGAATGGCCACCCCAGTGAGGTAAATGAGAAATGGGGAAATTTGACCTTCAGAGGGTTTGGCGAGGAATCAAGAAAAAAAGCAATAATGCAGCTCCTGGCCTCATGCCTAATTGCTGGAGGACACAAAGCTACAGGCGAGATTCCACCTCGCCACATATACTTTCCTTCTCCTCGCCAATTTGAATTATTGAGCTGGTTTTATTTTGGGCAAGCGTAATCAAATTTAGCCCTTGAAACGAAGCAAAATCAATATCCGTCAAACTGTGAGCAGAGGATTTTCTCTGCTCAAGGGGTACAAGGGGGTCATTCTATGCCAAGAAGCCATCACTGCTGAAGCACTGACTTTCCACAAAGCCCATTACAAACCTGTCTTCCGAATATATTCATCCAGTTCTACAATTTCAGCCAACACAACCAAGAAAAAGCTTTGGCTATAAATGTTAACACATTAATAAAACTCTTACTGTTGCTTTTTTAAATCACTGCAAACTCAATTCTTTTTTATTTCGAGGGATTTTTTCCACTCATGGAACACATTCTGATTATTACTGTTACAGGTAAAAACTTTACTCAAAAACTTCACAAACTTGTGCTAAACTATCAAGCCTTTTGAATACTTCTGTTCTAGTAAGTTTATTTTGTATATGTTTTAAACATTTGGGTCATTTAATTCCTCACAGATAGATTTGAGATTTTTATTGAGAATAAAATGTTTTCTTTTCACTTGAGGGACAGAAATTAATAAATCATATAGAATTATGTACTCAGCTGCTTGTTTTAAATGATTAACTAATGTACTGAGAGGCATGGAAATCCAACAAGTTTTATGGTATATTTATTTTTAATAGTGTTTTTAGTATGAAGTTAAACTAGATTGTGAATATTTTAGTCAAAAATTTAGAACTGGGAATCAAAATATGACTTGGAGAATCAAGCTGAAAAAAACAGACCACAAAAAGATTTTAAATGTTAATTATACAGCACATTCCAGACTGTTCCTTGTAAAGGAACTGCTTCCTATTCCTAACTCCTAACGGTTACTTCACAGTGACGTTCTGAAACAAAACATAATTTTTGCAAAGGCAGCAAAGGAAAGTGGCAGTAAAGCTCATTTATAGGCCTTTAGACAACAAGATAAAAGTTAAATCAATTAAAAAAAACTCTGCCAGGCTATAATAACCACCTCAAAAGACCCGGGAAGAGACTACTTTTTCAAAAGCAATTCTACACCTCCAGTATACAGTAAATAGCTGTGTTCATTAACACCTGTAACAGTTTCCTGCATTATTTGCAACTAGTTTCCATATTTTATCTTTAATATGGCAAAGCTGTGTAGCTCTTCCATATTTTTAAAGTTTTAAAGTGGCACGGTGGTGCAGTGGTAAGTATAGCTGTCTCGCAGCTCTGGAGCCCTGGGCGCAATTCTGGACCCGAGGTGCTTCCTGCGTTGGGTATATATGCTCTCCCCATGTTTACGTGGGTTTCCTCTGGGTCTTCTGGTTTCCTCCCACAGTCCAAAGACTTACGGGTAAGTTGGCTTCTGGGAAAACTGGCCCTGATGTGTTCTGCATGTCTGTGTGTTTCCATGTATGTGTATGTGTTTGTGACATGTGATGGACTGGTGTCTTGTCCCAGGTGCACCCCGCCTTGAGCGCATTGCCTGTTGTGATAGGTTCTGGTTCCCCCATGACCCTGAATTGGATGAAGCGGTTAGAAAATATTTGGGAAAACTGGATTTTGTCCCATGCTATAGTATCCATACAGAAGTAGAGCACTGTTTTACCTGGCTGGATGTTTTCCCTGATAATAGAGACGTGGTGGTCCCTGTCCGGACGTGTGTGTTCATGCCAGAAGCCCACAACATGACCAAGTTCATGGACAACAATGCCAAACTTATCACAGTTCTTGCCAATGGAAATGGCTTGGGGTCCTCCACCACGCCTGCCCACATAAGAACAGCACCTACAAGAAGCAGACAAGTTAGCAGGGTTAGATTTCTCATCTACCCTTCTAAAACCAAAGACTGCCTGAGGAGTTCATTACTAAAAACTATATCCACACTTTTCTAAGTCTGCTTTACAATAACAAACCCTTTAGGAAACAAACAAACAAACAAAACTAAAAAACTAAAAAACAAATGCATCGCATTTTTAAATTCAATGCTAACTCAAGAATGTTTTTTCTTCATGAAAAATATTCTGCTTATTACTTTTCCACACTTTTAAAAGGGCAGTTTTAGGTACCCATTTACTACACAACAAATTATTTAAAACAATAAACGTTGTGGGTGATCACAGTTTGTATGGTGCAAGGATATTCATTCAGTTCATTTTTTTTAATGAACTGTAGACAATGCTCTGGAGAATATACAACATTCCTATTTAATGCTTTTCTTATATTTTATTTTGTTGCTTGAGAAACATGAGCTATATGGACGCTCTACTCTACTACTACTGGCTCTACTACTCAAGGTCGGCAGTAGCTGACTTACCCACAAGGCCTATAGGTGAAGACGATAAAACTCTCTTCATCTGTCCTTTCAATAAAGGTGACACAGGTGAATTTCTCCCAGTGTCTCATGGCCTGCTTAAAAATAGCTCTTTGAGAACCTGAGGAAACATGAAGATGAAGAAAATGTAGCGTTCTGTAAAGTTTCTCAATGTGTGGTGTGATGTTTGAAAACACTTAAAGATAAATTCTTCTTAAAGAATTTTTCAGGTAAGATAAGAACTATGTTTTCTGTGGCGAGAGCCTTGGGTGGCTTCATTCCACAATGTAGCTATTAAAAAAACAGAGGGTTAACATTTCAGCAAACAATAATGTACCCCTGTGACGCTGGCAGAATAACACTAAAACAGAAGACAAATAAAGATAAAAGAATACCAGAGTGATGCAGTCATTGGAGAAACCACAAGCTCACATAAATGAAAAACCAATCTGTTACACAAAGCATGGAAACACTGATTTCAAAGTTCTGAATGACAGCTTAAGCTCCGGTTGGCTTCTGTGGGCGGTAAAAAAAAAGACAAACTGGGTGTCTAACCTAGGAACTGTCATCTTCCTTTACAAGGACCTCAATGACTAGTCTTGTAGTGTAACACTGAAGAGGAACCTTTTTGCCGGACTATTTCCTCCTACCCAGTGGCAAAATCTTTTGAACGCGTAGAACTTGCATGTCTAATTCCTTCATTTAAGATTAAAGGTTAAAGTAAGATATTTACTTTTTGCAAAACAGCAAGCATAGCTTCTCTCCACAGTGCTTCATCCGCTATCTCATTACTTTGTCATCCATCAAGATAAGCAACATCACACTCCGGTCTGTGTCCATCCCATTACCTTCCCTTACCACCCCCATTGGAGCATACAAAGTCTCAGATCTCCAGCAGCTTTTATCCTCTCTAATGCACATGATCCCCTGTGATACCATCTTGACAGCTCTAAGATTCCACTTTCATACTCCACCCCATTCTTTTCAGAGCCTAACAATTAACCCAGCCCACCCACAAAAGTAGTATTGTGAGCAACACAAAGCCTCTCGTTACCTTGTCCCCCTTTAATTCCGAGTCAACCTTCAAGGTCTCTTATCTCTACGATCTCCAGCTCTTTAAATTGCCTCCACAAGCAAACACACGGGGAACCACAACAGAACATCAAGCAAGAACAAATTGATAAATTACACCTCAAGGCATGCAGCTCAGACAAATCACTGAAAATACTCACCTCTTCAATTTTAATATAAAAGGTAAGCAATGTTAAAGGTTTTCTTAATATTTCACATATTAATATAGTACACTCTTTAATATGCTTTGATATGGCATATTCTATAAGAATATAGCATATTCTTAATATTGCTTAAGAGTTGTTTTCACTTTCTAAATCAGTTGCCAAGAGAAAAATGGAACAATGAAAAACTAACAGTCAAGATCTGTCAGACTTAAAAATGACAAAATATTTTTAACCATTATTTTTTCATCCCTTTACTGGGTTAAAGAACCAGACCACACAGAACATGGTTTTATGTTTTTAGCCTAATTGTTATCTAAAGTAACTTTCATATGACGTATGAATTGTAAATTTCTCTGGAAAAGGGTATCTGCTAATAAATAAATAGTAAGAAATAATACTACTGAATGTTCCTAAAAATGCATCTCTTATTTTATATAACAATGTAAGGAAGATAACATTAAACCTGTCTTACTCTGTGTGAAAGCAGGATATTGATCAAAGAGTTCTGTTAAGCCGTTTCACAAAGGATTGTTCAGAATTAGCCTCCTCAGCATGGTTTTGTGGTTTGATAGAGCACTTACAGTAAAGTGAAAAAAAAAAGTGTCTCTAATGATGCAGCAGATACTGTATTCCCATCTGTGTACTCTGGTACTGTGCTAAGATGGAAAATAGCTGTGATTGACTTGGTCTGACCTTTATAGGATCAGGAAAATCTTAATTAAATCTCTTTATGCATTCTTCTTCTCCTAGACCAAAGATTAACAGTGTTTTTAAACTGTTCCTTTGTCATACATCTTTGAATCATGGGAATTGTTTTTTTTTTAATTTTTTACTATTTTCAGTGATCCTGTGAACAGCTGGAGAATTACAAAAACAGACAAATGTAAACTTGTGAATTATGAGCAAATTGGACGATGAAGTATTTTCCTTGTGTTACTAACCGGTGAAGTTTCCTCCTATCACATAGGGAATCACACCACCAGGCCATATCCTCTCCTGGCGAGATGTAGCTGCCCTGCGCACCCTGCTCACTGCCTCATCAGCTCCTGAAGCTCTGCTTTTTGGATTTCTCTTCTTTTGTCTGCTGCCTTGAATGTATCTCCGCTTTGGGTCTAGTAAATGAAAAACAAATACTGTTTAAATCACAATGGAATTTTCAGTCCCTCCCAAACACTGTTTACAGTAATACCAAATAATCATGAATCCTGAGGATATTTTGCTACTTACATCACAGTGCATTCACACACATTTCAATTAAACTACACTGTAGATTTCTTTGGAAAAAAAGATGGCAAAGGTCATCCACTGGAAACAGGCTGTCAAATGAGATGAAATCTGCAATTCCATTTAAAGCTCCATGTAAACTCAAGGGTCTCGAGGATAGAGCCACCTGATGGACTTCAGTGTTCAGTATTATGCTTATAACAGCATCTTCTTTGTTACCAAAAGAAAATATTTCAATCCAGCAATCCAAACATGTACAATAATGCATCAGACATTAAGTACATCATTACCAAAATGTGTAATTCTTACAGAAAGTCAATTCTTCATTTTAAAATGCTCACTTTTTGTTTGGAATATAAAAGATTGTATTGGGGAAAGCAGTGCAATATGAAAAGTGATTTAACATTTCAGTCTGAGAAAACTTAATTTACAGATCAGAGAAACACAATTTCCTTAAAAATCACATTGTCTTAATATGGGCAGTTAAACACTTCAGCTTGTGTAGGCAGTGGAAATATGTGAGGCTCCAACTTGGACTTGTTCGAAGCTACACCAAATGACTATTATTATTATTATTATTATTATTATTATTATTATTATATCTGGCAAGCCTTTTTGCATTTTATTTTGAGTTTCCTCTATATTTTGCTGCCGTCACATAACTTACAGTCATATGACGGCAACTCTACAATGCTGCTGATATAATTAAGTACAGTACATAGATGAAAGTGCCATGCAAGGGATTTGATAGGTGTTTTCTAAAAGCAAGCTAAAGGCTTTCACAAGTTATCCACCAGAGTCTACAAAAATGTAAAAATGTTTTAATTTCTGAG